GGGGGGGGTGGCGCACCGTCGGCGTGGCGCGTCAGCAGGAAGAAGACGTTGGTGTCTGGGAACTTAAAGTGCCACCCGCCGCGCTTCAGCACGGCCAGCGCGCCTATTCACAGCAGCAGGTGTGAAGAGACGCCGTTCACACCAGAGCTGTCCTCTAGCTCGTCCTCTCGCCTGTTCACAGCTGCAGGTGTGAAGAGACGCCGTTCACACCAGAGCTGTCCTCTAGCTCGTCCTCTCGCCTGTTCACAGCTGCAGGTGTGAAGAGACGCCGTTCACACCAGAGCTGTCCTCTAGCTCGTCCTCTCGCCTGTTCACAGCTGCAGGTGTGAAGAGACGCCGTTCACACGCGCCTCGCCGCCGCCGCAGCGTCCTCGGCTGCATCTAGGCTGTATCTCGGCTGTATCTCGGCTGCATCTCGGCGCATCTCGGCTGCATCTCGGCTGCATCTCGGGTGCATCTCGGCTGCATCTCGGGTGCATCTCGGCTAGCTGGCGCCCTCTCGCAGCACCACTCTGTCCGAGCAGACGAGCACCTGTTCACAGCAGCAGGTGTGAAGAGACGCCGTTCACAGCGCGAGGCTCCGTCCGAGCAGACGAGCACCTGTTCACAGCAGCAGGTGTGAAGAGACGCCGTTCACAGCGCCAGGCTCCGTCCGAGCAGACGAGCACCTGTTCACAGCAGCAGGTGTGAAGAGACGCCGTTCACAGCGCGAGGCTCCGTCCGAGCAGACGAGCACCTGTTCACAGCAGCAGGTGTGAAGAGACGCCGTTCACAGCGCGAGGCTCTGTCCGAGCAGACGAGCACCTGTTCACAGCAGCAGGTGTGAAGAGACGCCGTTCACAGCGCGAGGCTCCGTCCGAGCAGACGAGCACCTGTTCACAGCAGCAGGTGTGAAGAGACGCCGTTCACAGCGCGAGGCTCCGTCCGAGCAGACGAGCACCTGTTCACAGCAGCAGGTGTGAAGAGACGCCGTTCACAGCGCGAGGCTCTGTCCGAGCAGACGAGCACCTGTTCACAGCAGCAGGTGTGAAGAGACGCCGTTCACAGCGCGAGGCTCTGTCCGAGCAGACGAGCACCTGTTCACAGCAGCAGGTGTGAAGAGACGCCGTTCACAGCGCGAGGCTCCGTCCGAGCAGACGAGCACCTGTTCACAGCAGCAGGTGTGAAGAGACGCCGTTCACAGCGCCAGGCTCCGTCCGAGCAGACGAGCACCTGTTCACAGCAGCAGGTGTGAAGAGACGCCGTTCACAGCGCGAGGCTCCGTCCGAGCAGACGAGCACCTGTTCACAGCAGCAGGTGTGAAGAGACGCCGTTCACAGCGCGAGGCTCTGTCCGAGCAGACGAGCACCTGTTCACAGCAGCAGGTGTGAAGAGACGCCGTTCACAGCGCGAGGCTCCGTCCGAGCAGACGAGCACCTGTTCACAGCAGCAGGTGTGAAGAGACGCCGTTCACAGCGCGAGGCTCCGTCCGAGCAGACGAGCACCTGTTCACAGCAGCAGGTGTGAAGAGACGCCGTTCACAGCGCGAGGCTCTGTCCGAGCAGACGAGCACCTGTTCACAGCAGCAGGTGTGAAGAGACGCCGTTCACAGCGCGAGGCTCTGTCCGAGCAGACGAGCACCTGTTCACAGCAGCAGGTGTGAAGAGACGCCGTTCACAGCGCGAGGCTCCGTCCGAGCAGACGAGCACCTGTTCACAGCAGCAGGTGTGAAGAGACGCCGTTCACAGCGCGAAGCTCGGTCCGAGCAGACAAGCACCTAACACACGACCCGTGTGAGTAGGCTTCTGAGCACTGATGACTTAGTGTGTTGTCCGAGCAGGCGAGCGCCCACGCTGGCAGCGGGTCCGACGCCGCCAGCCCTCGCGCCTGATCCCATAGCATGGTACGCTTCAGGACGCGAACTCCGACGCCGGCTGTTGGTTCCGTCGGCGCCGCCTTAAGTCCAGCCTTGCTAAACATGAGTGGTTGCCTCGTCACTCCGCCCGCCGCCGCCCAGCCCTCGGCGCCTATGCCGCTCCGGTATGCCACATTACGCTTTGGCGGTGCATCTCCTCGGCGCCCGCCACAACCCGCCCGCCCGCCTGACTAAACAGTGCTACTATGGTTGCAGCGCCCACGACTTCTCTTCCACCTGGCGGTGCGATTGGTATACCTCCCGCGGGGAGATGGGGAGATACGGGGAGATATGAGGAGATACGGGGAGATATGGGGAGATATGGGGAGATATGGGGAAATGGGGAGATACGGGGAGATATGAGGAGAGATGGGGAGATATGGGCTCCCTCCCGCGGGGAAATGGGGAGATACGGGGAGAGATGGGGAGAGATGGGGAGATATGCGCGGGGAGATGGGGAGATACGGGGAGATATGGGGAGATATGGGGAGATGTCAGCGTGCTGGCGGCCCTCTGTAGCACCAGGTGCAAAGGAAAGAGTGGGGAGATATGGGGAGATATGGCCAGGTGCAAAGGAAAGAGTGGGCTGGTATGATTGGCTATGACCCGTCTTTACTTGCGTACTCAGCCCGCGCGCCTCCGCCGACAGGCGCTGCCGGTCTCGCTTCAGCAGCGCCGCCACCGCGCCGGCGTCCTGGGGAGATATGGGGAGATATGGGGAGATATGGGGAGATATGGGGAGATGCCACCGCGCCGGCGTCCTGCAGTCAGTCCGTCAGTGTTACACACGTCCTAGCAATGGACGACGGGGCACACGCACTCGCGGAACACACAGGGCATTACACACGAGGCGTTGTTTGTGTGCGTTCTCAGGGAAAGGCATCACCACAGACAACTGCCCGCGTACTGCACCGGTAGTTAGTTCACTAACCATGACGTAGTTCACTATTCATTCGCCTCCGCGCTCGTATCCTGCCCGCGGGCTGAAGACTGTTCGTCTTCTTCTCCACAACCAGTCATCCGCAAGTTAAGGTGGTCTCGTGGTCATTAGCACTGCGTGCTCTCATTGGCAAGTGGCTGTTCATTCTCACTCATTAATAAGTGGCTGTTTATTCTCATTCATTAGTAAGTGGCTCATTACTCACTCATTAGTCTCCTGCTCGCGCACTTTGACGAACCCATATCCCCCCATATCTCCCCATATCTCCCTGTATCTATCTCCCCACTCCTGCTCGCGTGCTTTGACGAACCAGTCCAGCTCGGAGGCGTCCCAGCTTTCCTGCGAGTCCCTCGCGTCGGCGGCCGTCCCCTCGCCTACCAGTTGTTAATGACTAGTTACTGATCACGAACGCATCCCCTACGGACTCGGGACGGGGGCCGCCCCCTCCTATCAGTTGTTAACGATCAATTAATTGACCACCCATGGACTCGCGTCGGCGGCCGCCCCCTCGCCTGTTCGGTACGTGGTTAATGATTAGTTATTGAGCACCCATGGACTCGGGCCGGGGGCAAATCCCCTGCGCCGCCTCCTCCGACCAAACTCCACCCAGTCACTCCATCAACACCTATTACTCAGTTAATGATAGTGACTGGAGCCGCCACCACCCAAACACCAACATCGCCTCCTCCTCCTCCTCCTCCTGCTCCTCCGTCGCCTCCGCCTCCTCCTCCTCCTCCTCCTGCTGCTGCTGCTGCTCCCCATTCGCCCCCTGCTCCTGCTCCCCCTCCCCCTCCTGCCCCCCCGCCGTCGTTGCTGCACACGCCGTCCTCCCGAGTCCGCATCAGAAGCGCGTTCTCCCCTGTGCACTCCGAGTGACGAGCAACCGCAGTGACGGCGGCGGTGGTGGTGGTGGAGGGTGGCGGCGGCGCGTTGGCGGCGGCGGGGTCGGCGGCGGAGGCGACGCGGCTGCCGCGCCCGGGCGATGGCAGCCACTCGCTGATCGACACGGACGACCCCTCGCCCTCGTCCTCCTCACCCTCGCCCTCCTGCCCTGCCGCTGCCTCCTCCTCCTCCTCCTCCTCGCCCTCGCCCTCCTGCCCCGCCTCGGCCTCTGCCTCCTCCTCCTCCTGCTCTCCCTCCGCCGCCTCCTCCTCCGCCGCCGCTGCTTCCTCCTCCTCCTTCCCCGCCTCCGCCTCGCCCAACCCCTCCTCCTCGCCCCCCTCCCCACAGACGCCCCGCAGCAGCAGCTCGTGAAACCGCCGCCCCACCGCCGCCGAAGAGAGCTCGGCGCGTATGCGGCGGGCAGCAGCCTCCCGCGTCGATGCTGACAACTCTCCAGCTGCGACCCTGCGCAGTGCGTCCGCGGTACCGGCCACACTCGGCGTGGCGGCGAAGCCGTCGCTGAGAAAGCTGCGCTGCACAAACGGAACAGAGAGGCCATGCCACGTGTAGTCCGCCATAGCGCCGAACGCGGTGGTGACGGCGGGTGTGCCAACGCGCTGCGCCTCGAGCAGCGGCAAGCCGAACCCTTCGCTCTTCGATGGCATCAGCAGGACGTCCGCTGCTGCCAGCATCTCCCACGAGGCACTCCAGTCCAGCACCCGGTCCTCCACTGTGAAGGAGCCTGCTGGCAGCCCTGCGGCCCGCAGCAGCCCCGCCAGGCTGATTGCGGGGTCGGCGGTGTGTTGCTCCGGCAGCCCGTTGCCCTCGGCAGCGAGGATGTGCGCGGTAGACATCACTTTGAGAAAGAGGTGCGCCCCCGCCACCGTCTCTCGCAGCGCCTTGAACGCCAGCACCGCCACATCCAGCGCCTTTCGGTTCACCGCGTCGTAGTTGCCACAGTTGACCAGCGCGACAAACGCGGCGGTCGGCATACCGTGCTTGCGGCGCAGCGACGGGCGGAGCGCGTCGATCCCACCGAGGCCATCCCCGTAGAAGGCCTCGTGCAGCCCTGGCGGCGGCTCCGCCACATGCGGGATGGTGCCGACCCATTTGCTGGCCGGGTCAAACTCACCGCTCTCGGCCGGCGACTCTCGAAGCATCTGCTCCGCCTACGTGCTGAGTGCGTCAACCTCGGGGCGGGAGGACGGTGTTGTGCAGTGTATTTGGAGCACCGCGTGAGTACGAGGGGCTGCGAGTACGGCTGAATACGTGTCCGCTCGAGCGCTAGTGGGAACCGATGAGTACGCCTTCCGCTTCTAGCTGCTCTGCCGACGGCGCCAGCGCAACGATGGCGTCGAAAGCGGAGAGCGCGCGCCTGCGTACCGGGCGGGTGTCGGTCAGATATTGATTAATTCATCATCAGTTTATAATTCATCATCAATTTAATAGCGCGCGCCTACCGGGCGGTGTCGGTCGCAGCTTTCGGCCGTCTCAGGCCATCTGTGCGTGTTGTGCCATCTGTGCGCGCTAGTTTCGAATTAATCAATTAAGCGCGCCGCTGCGACGGGACAAACGCGTCAAAGTGCGACGGGAACCAAAAGACGGAGTAGGGCCGGGTGCGGTCCACGTCGCTCAGCACCTATTCACAGCGCGGCGAAGCCAGCTCACACTCGCGCGGCCGACGAGGTAGCCTCGGCACTGTCTTGATGGCGAGAGGTGGGGAGATATGGGGAGAGACGGTCAGAGACGGAGAGATGGAGATACGAGGAGATGTGGCGAGATATCGCGAGATGCCAGATTCGCGTCGAGCAAGAGGATCACGGCGTCGATGGCGTGTCGTCTCGCCGCCGCATCGACGGCCGAGACGAGGACGCCGTTGCCGCGGCCCCAGTACGCCTCGGGAAGCGGCACGTCGATGAAGCCGAACCGCGACGAGCGGGCGTCGGTGGCGGCGGACGGCGCGCTCTCCGTCGGCAGTCGGCCGTCGCCGCCCGCTGCGAGCAGCGACGCCTCGGAGAAGGTGTAGACTCTGTCCGGGTCAGGGAGCACTCCGGGCCGAAACGCCGCGTTCCACACCACGGCGTGACCGAGGTCGACGAGGGCGGCGCCGAGCGTCGAGAGTTGGCTCTGGTAGGCGCCAAATCCCCACGGCCACGCGGGAGCGATGAGGAGCACCCTCAGTTTGCCGTCGCCGCCGTCGACGCACGCGGAGGGAGGATTGGAGGGCGCGACGCCGCTAACCGCTGCGACGACCAGGGAAGGCGAGAGGAGGGCGGTGAAGAGCAGCAGCGAGCGAGCGAGCGCTGTCATCGAGCGGCCGCCGGGCCGGCTGAGGTCAAGAAAAAGACAAAATCGGCGATACATTCCTCTAACACAAAAAAAATACAGAGAACGCCACGGGAAGCGCCCGCCGGTGCCAGACTTGTCGATGCTTTCCCGTTTCGCGAAGTCGCTGCCCTGCCTCCACCGCCGCGACGTCCCGACGCCCGCCGACACCGCCGCGCCGACGCAGCCGGCCGCCGCCCTCCCCTCCGCCACCGATCTCGGCGTGAGCGAGGAGAAGCTGGCGGAGTGGCGCAAGCTCGGCGGCGGCGACCTCGAGCCGGTCCTCGCGAGCGGCGCCGTCGCCCTCCTCGACGCGCAGTGGATCATCAGCCACGCCGAGGCGGGCGGCGTCCTCACGCACCGCCAGGCTCTGCCCAAAGAGGCCTTCCTCTCCCTCGCCGACCTCGTCGAGGCGACCACCTCGAACCCGTACGGAGATTGGCTTCCCGTCGGCGCGCTCTCCTACCCGTGGCTGACCAAGGACCACCCCGACCCGCGCGGAGCCAACCTCTCCCGCGTCGCGAGGGCGCTCAAGGTCCTGCTCAGCCGCCCCGACCTCATCCCGCGGCTCGGCGTCTTTTGGGACTTCGGCTCGCTGCACCAGCACCCCGACCCCCCCAACGGCGTCCTGCGCACCGAGGAGCAGAACGCGCTCTTCAAGCAGGGTTTGGGCTGCCTCGGCACGCTCTACTCCCACAAGTACACACGCGTGCTGCGGCTGACCTCCTTCCCGGACGGCCACAAGGCGGAGGACCAGGCCGAGGGCACCAACGTGGCCAAGTACTTTGACCGCGGCTGGTGCGCCACCGAGAACGCCTGGGCGAGCCTGACCAAGGTCTATGCCCTCTCGCTCGACCTCGGCAAGATGCGCGCCGGCAGGGAGTACGACTACTGGAGCCTCATGTTCGACTGCACCCAGGACGGCGGCCGGCGCCCTCCGCTGCTGCCGTCTGCCTTCGCGGCGGAGCTGGAGACGAAGAGCTTCACCAACGGCAAGGACGACAAGCCGCTGGTGAAGCGGCTGTACGAGGCCGCCTTCGAGGAGCAGTTTGGCATGGCGACCGTGCTGCACTACGGCGGCCTCGGCTGGGGCGACGCGGAGGCGGCGCAGCTGGCGGAGGTCCTCGCGAGCGGGGCAGCGCCGCAGCTCGAGGAGCTCGCTCTCTTCGCCAATAAGATTGGCGACGAGGGCTGCAAGGCGCTGGCCGACGCCCTCGGCAAGGAGGGGGCAGCGCCGCGGCTCGAGAAGCTCGAGCTCCATGGCAACGAGATTGGCGACGAGGGCTGCAAGGCGCTGGCCGCCGCCCTCAAGGAGGGGGCCGCCCCGAGCTTGAAGGCGCGAGACGCCCCCCTCGCCACACGCCCCTCCCCCGCCCAATGCTGATCGCACCTCCCCTCGCGTGCAGACGCTCCGCGTGGACAACGAGAAGCAGCCTGAGCTGGTGGCCGTGTGCGAGGAGCGCGGCATCGACCTCTGCTGAGCCTCTCCAGCCCCGGCCGGGCGGCGAGGGCGCGGGGCCCGGCGGGACCGCCGTGCGAGCTCGGCAGAGAGCGTCACAGACCGGCACGGCCGCGTGTGCAGCTAGTCAGAGTCGCCCACAATCATGCAGATGGACCTTCATTGCTTGCGCGTTTTGCCCAGATGTGTTGTGCGAGCGCATTGCCATTGGCGCGCGTGCGCGCGGGGGAGGGAGGCCGAGGGGCGAGGGAGACGTGGCGTACTAACACTCTACAAACCAGACTTTTTGTAATCGTACCAGACATCGGAAAAAGAGGGGGGAGGGCGAGGAGGTGCGCTGCAGCGCGCAGACCGGCACCGGCACCGGTGCGCCGGGACCGCGGGAGGGTGCCGGTCGCTCGGTCGTCATCGGATAACGACGCACCATCCTCCCGCGTACTCGTCGCTTATGTGTACTCTCGAGTGACCTCGCATGGTGTAAAGCCGTGGTGTGTAGCCTCACGCCGCGCGAGGCAGCAGCTCCACCTCTCCCGGGCTGGTGGGGCGGGAGGCCCGCTCGAGCCGCGACAGCTGGCCTATTGACGAGAATCTCCCATTACGTGTCAAGAGCTGCTGAGCCTCAAGCTGTTCATTATTCCTCGTGAGGGCACAACCGCTGTGACTAATATCTCGCTACAGCTCGCCTCGCAGCTCGGCGATCTCGTCCACATCTCCCCTTCATCTCGTCCAGATCTCGCTACAGCTCGCCTCGCAGCTCGGCGATCTCGTCCACATCTCCCCTTCATCTCGTCCATATCTCGCTACAGCTTGCCTCGCAGCTCGGCGATCTCGTCCACATCTCCCCTTCATCTCGTCCAGATCTCGCTACAGCTCGCCTCGCAGCTCGGCGATCTCGCCCACATCTCCCCTTCATCTCGTCCAGATCTCGCTACAGCTCGCCTCGCAGCTCGGCGATCTCGTCCACATCTCCCCTTCATCTCGTCCATATCTCGCTACAGCTCGCCTCGCAGCTCGGCGATCTCGTCCACATCTCCCCTTCATCTCGTCCATATCTCGCTACAGCTCGCCTCGCAGCTCGGCGATCTCGCCCACATCTCCCCTTCATCTCGTCCAGATCTCGCTGCAGCTCGCCTCGCAGCTCGGCGATCTCGTCCACATCTCCCCTTCATCTCGTCCAGATCTCGCTGCAGCTCGCCTCGCAGCTCGGCGATCTCGCCCACATCTCCCCTTCATCTCGTCCATATCTCGCTACAGCTCGCCTCGCAGCTCGGCGATCTCGTCCACATCTCCCCTTCATCTCGTCCAGATCTCGCTACAGCTCGCCTCGCAGCTCGGCGATCTCGTCCACATCTCCCCTTCATCTCGTCCATATCTCGCTGCAGCTCGCCTCGCAGCTCGGCGATCTCGTCCACATCTCCCCTTCATCTCGTCCATATCTCGCTACAGCTTGCCTCGCAGCTCGGCGATCTCGCCCACATCTCCCCTTCATCTCGTCCATATCTCGCTACAGCTTGCCTCGCAGCTCGGCGATCTCGCCCACATCTCCCCTTCATCTCGTCCAGATCTCGCTACAGCTCGCCTCGCAGCTCGGCGATCTCGTCCACATCTCCCCTTCATCTCGTCCATATCTCGCTACAGCTCGCCTCGCAGCTCGGCGATCTCGTCCACATCTCCCCTTCATCTCGTCCAGATCTCGGTAGAATTTGGGTTGCATCTCGGCTGCATCTCGCCAGCTGATCGCCCTCGCCAGCGGCGCGTGGCGCGCGCGCAACGGCGGCAGTATCGCGCAGTGCAGACGGCGAGGAGGGAGGCGGCCAGCGGCAGCAGCAGGTTGTCCAGGTCCGCCACTGGGTTGAACACCACCGCCTCGTACCACTCGACAGCCGCCTTTAACTGATAAATATGAATTACTCGCCCAATTAATTAATCGCCTTCGTACCACTCGACAGCCGCCTTCAACTGATAAATATGAATTACTCGCCCAATTCACTGATTTCATCGCCTCGTACCACTCGACAGTCGCCTTTAATTGATAAATATGAATTCATCGCCCAATTAATTAATCGCCTTCGTACCACTCGACAGTCGCCTTTAATTGATAAATATGAATGAATCGCCCAATTAATTAATCGCCTTCGTACCACTCGACAGTCGCCTTTAATTGATAAATATGAATGACTCGCCCAATTAGTTAATCGCCTTTCGTACCACTCGACAGTCGCCTTTAATTGATAAATATGAATGAATCGCCCAATTAATTAATCGCCTTTCGTACCACTCGACAGCCACCTCCCCCGCCGCCGTCTCCCAGACCTGTTCACAATTTCCTGTTGTTGAGAAGGAAATACGTCCTATGGCGCTGCGGGCTGGTCTGTGAGAGGGTGAGGTGTGAGCCCTGAAGGCCCTGGGGATGGGGGGACACTATCTCCCCGTATCTCCCCATATCTCCCCATATCTCCCAGACCGACGCAGTAGCTGCGGCGACGGGCGAGAACTGGGCGAGCGCAGCCAGCCTGCGAAGACGCAGCTTGAGCTCATTAACTCGTATCATAGTGATTATGGATGCCAATCTATCTGAGAAGCAAAACTTGGCTTGGCCAACAAAGAACCCTGCACAAAGATCGCAAGGGCGGGGACCTGTTCCTTTTTACCCATCTCACAGTAGAGAGGTGTCCGTTTTTATTTATTTATTTAAAGCTTGGCCAGCCTGGGCAGCAGCTCCACCGACGCCAGCAGCAGCCAGCAGCCCACCTCCGCGAGATCGGCCGAGATTAGTTCATCTTGATTGCTATTAATTAACAGCAGCCAGCAGCCGACCTGTGGTCACACCAGATCACACCGGATCACGCGGTCACAGGACGCGGCCCCAGCTCTTAAGGCAGCAGCAGCCGGCAGCCCACCTCGGCGAGGGCGCTCACGGCCACGTAGCGGAAGGTGAGGATGCCTATGAATTGAATTATTAAGATCAATCTTCAGATTGTGTAATGCGCTCACGGCCACGTAGCGGAAGGTGAGGATGCCTATGAATGAATACTAATTGATATTAATCAAGATTCATTAAGGCGCTCACGGCCACGTAGCGGAAGGTGAGGATGCCTATGAATTGAATTATTAAGATCAATCTTCAGATTATTTAATGCGCTCACGGCCACGTAGCGGAAGGATGCCTATGCATGAATACTAATTGATATTAATCAAGATTCATTAAGGCGCTCACGGCCACGTAGCGGAAGGTGAGGATGCCTATGAATTAATACTCATTACTTATTAGTTCAGATTCATCAGTGCGCTCACGGCCACGTCGCAGAAGGTGAGGATGCCTATGAATTAATACTCATTACTTATTAGTTAAGATTCATCAGTGCGCTCACGACCACGTCGCAGAAGGTGAGGATGCCTATGAATTAATACCAATTGATATTAATCAAGATTCATTAAGGCGCTCACGGCCACGTAGCGGAAGGTGAGGATGCCTATGAATGAATACTAATTGATATTAATCAAGATTCATTAAGGCGCTCACGGCCACGTAGCGGAAGGTGAGGATGCCTATGAATTGAATTATTAAGATCAATCTTCAGATTGTGTAATGCGCTCACGGCCACGTAGCGGAAGGTGAGGATGCCTATGAATTAATACTCATTACTTATTAGTTAAGATTCATCAGTGCGCTCACGGCCACGTCGCAGAAGGTGAGGATGCCGCCAACGCACAACAGGAAGAGGGCGTGGGACAGCTGGCCGTGGAAGCGCGCATTGAACTCCTCCTCGCCCTTCCCCGCCTCCAGCGCCAGCCTCTCGTGATACTCTGCCGCCGCCGGCCCAACGCAGCCGCTAAAGTAGGAATGACAACAATCAGAATGGTAACGATATAACAACAACAGTGAGGATCACAACCACAGTAGAGTAATGGCAATAGTAAGTAGCGATGCTCATGAATACCAATACACAGTGATGATAAGAAATAGTGATGCCACTAATCATAATAGTAATAACAACAACAACAACAGTATCATAGATAATAATAAACCTCAGAGTGTCGTTGCAGCGCTCGACGCGCGCGTGGAAGCGGCGGCGGGAGGGCAGCAACACGGCGCGGAGGGCGGCGAGGGAGGCGGCGCAGCGAGACCAGAGCAGGCGGCACTGGGCGTGTGACGCGCGGAAGTTGGCGTCGCCTGAATACGTTTCAATAACTGTTTGTCTCTCTGTCTCTCTGTCTCTCTGTCTCTCTGTCTCTCTGTCTCTCTGTCTCTCTGTCTCTCTGTCTCTCTCTCTCTCTCTCTCTCTCTCTCTCTCTCTCTCTCTCTCTCTGTCTCTGTCTCTCTCTCTCTCTCCCTCCCCTCCTCAATCCCCGCTATATCTCGACGCCATCTCGGCTACCTCCCGCCGGCCGCTTTCCGAACCGCCGCCACGTCCGCCGCCGCCAGCCGCCCCCCCGCCCCCCCGCCAAACACGCGCCTATCAATTAAAATGCGTATGAGTTAATATTCATTAATCTCAGCCGCCCCCCCCGCCAAACACGCGCCGGCGCAGCGCCCGCTCGGCGGCGGCGACGGAGGCGGCGAGGGAGGAAGCGAGGCGAGACTCGACCATCGGCAGCGGGAGCGCCTCCGCATCCGCCTGTGTGTGAACGACCGGCGGCGTGACCGACCAAAGTTCGTCGAGCCGCAGCGGAGCGCTCCTCTCGGCATCCGCCCGCAGCGTCGCCAGCGCCGTCGCGCGGGCCTGGTGGTGGACGGCGCCAGTAGGGGTGAGTTAGTGCGTCGTCGAATCTTAACAACGAGTGCCTCGTTGTGGAAGGCGTCAGTGAGTAGTTAATCAGCCATCGACTCTTAACAACTCGTCTTGACAATGAAGGAGATCAATCTGTTGATCATTTCATAACTGCCTCTGTAATCAATAATTAATCAACGGGATCTCGTTGTTGAACGAGTCAATCTGTTGATCATTTCATAACTGCCTCTGTAATCAATAATTCATCAACGGGGTCGCCTCGTTGTTGAAAGAGTCGATGACGGAGCCGGCCGTCGGGATGGCGTTTGCGTTGAGCGCCTCCACCAGCTTCCGCACCGCCCCCGCCAGCTCCTTGCCACTGCCCCACACCCTCCCATTCCCATTTGCCATCGCCATCGCGTCTGCTGCAGTCGTCCCAACGCGCGACGCAACTGCCCGCTCCGCCGCCTCCGCCTCCTCCGCCTCCTCCGCCTCCGCCTCCGCCTCCGCCGCTGGCGCCCGCCTCCTCCTCCGTTGCGCAACAGAGCCGACCCACTCCCGCACTACCTGCATGCCCGCCCGGTACTCTGCCGCTAGCTGATCGGGCGGGAGGTCGCAGAGGGACGTTCGGGAAGGGTGGGGCTGCGGTAAGCCAAGGCCGCGCATGCCGCCGAAGGAGCGCAGTGTGCGGCGGATGGCGTTGAGCTGCCCCGCCTGCGCGTCGAGTTGACAACGAGTTGACAACGAGTTCACAACGAATTAACGACGAATTAACGACGAATTCACAAAGAATTCACAACGAATTAACAACGAATTCACAACGAGTTCACAACGAGTTCACAGCTAGCTAACACCGAGTCAGAGCTGCCTGGGCTTCTCGGACAATCCCGGGTACTCTCGGGTACTCTCGGGTACTCTCGGGTGCTCTCGGGTACTCTCGGGTACTCTCGGGTCCTCTCGGCTCCTCTCGGGTCCTCTCGGGTACTCTCGGCTCCTCTCGGGTCCTCTCGGCTGCCCCGCCTGCGCGTCCGTCGGAGCGTGCTCGACCTACAAGTCACGAATCCGCCAACAACCTCGGGGGCGGGAAGGCGGTACTGTGCAGCGTCTTCAGAGCACCGCGTGAATACGAGGGGGGCGACTACAGTGAACACGGCCGAATACAGCTGAGTACGTACTCTCGAGCGCTTGTTGGAGTGTAAGAATACGTATGTCTGCTTCTAGGCGGCTAGACCGGCTGCAGCGCCTGCCGCAAGGACTCCTCCACCTCAATTAAGTACCCTTAATGGAGGGGTAGTAATTAGTTCATTGAGCCGCCTGCCGCAAGGACTCCTCGACCGACCTTAATTCATTTCCCTTCATTAATTACCCTCAATTAACGAGTCATAACTAAGCGCCTGCCGCAGATACTCCTCCACCGACCCTCCTTGCAAGAAGTCGCGCTGCACAAGCCTGTGACTAACCACCTCTGATTAGATAGGGACGATTGGTGAACTAATTAAAGACGTCGCACACGCCTGGACTCAATCCCCTCCAATTAATTCATCACGACTCGTTAATGACTTAAAGACGTCGGCGCTGCACACGCCAGAGCATTGCAGGAGGAGCCCACCGCCGCCGCGCCGCGCCGCGACCCTTGCCTCCGCCTTCCTCGCCGCCGCCGCCATCGCCACTGTCGCTCCCCTCGCCGCCGCCGCCCTCGCCCTCTCCCCCTCCTCCTCCGCCCGCCTCGCCGCTAGTGCGGCGCCAGAACTCCGACGCCAGCTGCGCGGCGAAGGCCAGCTTCGCGATGTCCGCCTGTAATTACTTATCAGAGCCTTTAACTAATTATTAATTAACAGCGAAGGCCAGCTTCGCGATGTCCGCCTCGCGGATGGTCTCCACCTTTCATTTAAGGAAAGGCGATTCGGTACTTGAGAGTGAACTAAAAAGGCGCCGCCCCTCTCGAGTAGTCTCCACCTTCCATACAATGAAAAACAAACTCATTCATTGGTTATCATTGAAAGGGCCGCCTCTCGGACGGCCCTCCACCAGATTGTAGAGCACCGCCGCCGCGGACAGCACCTAGAAAGTTCCTAGAAGGCTCCTGAAGGTTCCTAGAAGGTTCCGAGAATGAGCACCGCCGCCGCGGACAGCACCTGCTCGAGATTACCCGAGATTACCCGAGATTGCCCGAGATTACCCGAGCCGCAGCGGACAGCGCCGCAAACGCAAAGATGCGGTCGTCGTACGCAGCCGCCTTCCCCGTCCCCTCGAACCCCTCGGTGTCGAGAAAGAGAACCGTGGCGCCTGTACTTGATTACCCTGTGGTTAGTCAAGTACGACTCGTTAAACAACTAAAGAAAGAGGACCCTTCGCGCCTGTACTCAATTACCCTGTGGTTAGTCAAGTGCGACTCGTTAAACAATTAAAGAAAGAGGACCGTGGCGCCTCCGGGGCCTCCGAACGCCTCGGCGCGCTGCCCGTACAGCCACACTCCTTTGGTCTGCGCGTCCCGCCGGTGCCCGACCTGCTCGGGTAATCTCGGGTAATCTCGGGCAATCTCGGGTAATCTCGGGTAATCCCGCCGGTGCCCGACCTACTCGCGGCCACCGGCGTGTGAAGAGACGGGATGGATGGGGCAATGGTGGCGTGCACCGGAGGCGCCTCACATGTACATGTGCGCGTGACAGGTCCCGCACGTGTGTGTGACTGGAGTGTGAACTGTCTACGAGAGTGGCCTGGAGCCGCGGTGCTTTGTGAGCTGTCTATGTTTTTAAGTGTCCTGGAGCCGCGGTTGTTGTGACATGTCTATGAAAGTGTCCTGGAAGCCCTCGCTGCAGTTGAGCCGCATCAGCTGGTTGAGCAGAAACGACTTGCCGCTCCGGTACTGGCCGATCGCTGCCACCACCGCCACCGGCCCGCGCAGGCCAGCGACGTAGTCCAGCGCCTCGGGCTGCAGCGCCTGCATGTACCGACGCGGCTGAGGCGCGGTGCCTGTGTGTACTTGCTTGTGAATGTGTGTGTGTACGGTGGCCAGAGGCCCTCTGAAGCGCCCGGGTCATCGCCGCCGTGCCGCTCTACGTCCAGTGTTGCAAACATCGCCCGCGGCTACTACGGCGGGACTTTGGCACCAATTTGGTGGAGGCGGCTTCTGGAAGCAGCAGCGGCAGCGCGGCGCGCGGAGGCGTGGTTGATGGCTCACCGCGGCCTGCCGGCGTCGGCGAGGCGTCGGACGGCGACAGCGCCAAACAGGAGAGCAGCATTTCCGAAAAAAAGAATCTTACAACAAAACTCCCTCGCACAACACTGGGCACGGGACTGGCGCGCACTGGCACGAACACAGGTACACCACGGGAGCCGCCTAAGCGACTCCTGCGAAAAAAGAAGGTTGCGCGCCTTCGTGTAGGCGCCCCCCGCGACTGTGCTTCTTTTGGTACTGTCGCGTTGAAATAAAATGAACTCGGGGGCACGGGACGCGGCACAAACGGGGCACAAACGCCAGGCTACAAAGACGGGGAGGCACGTAGTGACGCAGGGGAGTCTAGGCGACGGCGGCGTCCTCCGACGCCGCGGCGAGCCTGAGCTCGGTCGCAATCTCTTCCGCCGCCGCGTACTGTGGGATCCGAGCGCGAGCACCTTCCAGCCGAGCACCTTCCCGCAAAAGTCGGGATCAGAGTGGCCACGTGGCTCGGTAGTGCTACTGCGTGCCTTGCGTGCGGCCCTTGGATTATGCTATTGAAGGTTACTCCACCGCGGTCCGTGCGAGCGAGACCCTGACCCGCTCGCACGCCCGCGGGGGCACACGCGAGGCGATGCAGTGGGATACCGGACTTCTTCTGGGGCTAGCTGAAGCTATAAAGAACACCTCTGCCGCGTCCTGGACTTCCACGACGCGCAGCACGCCCACGGCAGCTCACCGCGACGGGCAGAGCCCAGGCTGGGTCGTTCACGCTGGAGAGAGGGCCCAAAAGAAACTTTTACGTGCGCGTTTGCGGCTTGCCTGTGCTCTCGGCCGCCTCGCTGAGCGAGACCGAGCGCGGTGCTGGTGGCGCCGACACTGCCGATCCGTCGAGCACTGCGACGGCTGCTCAACCAATGAGAGTCGGCAGCGCTGCCTCTGCGGCTGGTGCGCCTGCACAAACCACGCCAAGCGACTGCAAACTGGGCGCAAACCTGTCTGGCAATGCTCTGGGCGAGGATGTCAGTGTGGAAACCACTCGAGTCCTTCAGCTTGATCCTGCCTCGACGGCTCGCACCGCAAACGCGGGTCCTGCACTTCCTCGCGGTGCCGGCATCTCTGCGCTGCGCCATATTGACGCCAATAACTCTGCTTTCAACATGCTCAACGAGGCGCTGCCCTCTGCGCGGCTGGCCTAACCTGTGCTGCTGCTGCTGCTGCTGTTGCAGCTGATGCTGCTCCTGCTACCCTCCCGCCCGCCCACCCTGCCCGCCCGCCCTGCCCGCCCGCTCGTAAGGGGTCTTCACCTTCACACTGGTCTGGCCACAGGTGGGCAACCTTCCCGTCGAAGGTCAAGCGGTCTCAACTTCGCGCTCTACTGCCCGCCCTCGCCCTCGCCTACCGCCTCCCGCCTCCGCCCGCCGACCCGCCGCCAGCTCGTCCGCCAACCCGTCGTCTCTGTCGCCTCTCGCCCGCCCGCCATCGCCCTCGCCTTTCACCTCCCGCCGCCCCCCGCCGACCGCCACGCCAGCTTGCCTGCCGCCCTGTCGTCTCGCCTGTCGCCTGCCCGCCCTCGCCGCCTCTCGCCGACGACCACGCCAGCTTGGCCGCCGCCCTGTCGTCTCGCCTATCGCCCGCCCGCCCTCGCCCTCGCCCCCTCCTCCCGCCACCACCCTCGCCTCACCCTCCCGCCGCCTCGCCGCTCGCTTGCTCGCTCGCGCGCCCGCTCGCGCCTGGCTTTCTACTTCCTCGTGATCGCCCGAATCTATCCTTCCTCGTGATCCACCCTCGCCTCACCCTCCCGCCGCCTCGCTGCTCGCTCGCCGCTTGCTCGCCCGCCCGACTTTCTACTTCCTCGTGATCCGAACCGCCACCACCCTCGCCTCCTCGCCTCACCCTCCCGCCGCCTCGCCGCTCTCGCCCGCCGTTCGCTCGCCCGCTCCCGACTTTCTACTTCTTCGTGATCCATCTCGCCGCCCGCTCGCTCGCTCGCGCTCGACCTCCTACTTCCTCGTGATCCACCGCCGCCACCCTCGCCACCGCCACCTTCTCGCCGCTCGCTCGCCCGCTCGCGCTCGACCTTCTACTTCCTCGTGATCCACCCGCCGCCACCCTCGCCTCACCCTCCCGCCACCTAGCCGCCCGCTCGCCGCTCGCTCGCCCGCTCGAGAGAGAGAGAGAGAGAGAGAGAGAGAGAGAGAGGTAGAGAGCGAGGCGTTCAAGGGGACGAGGAGGGGATCCAGATGGCCTGGGAGGTTGAACTTTTGCGGGTCAGGAGAGCCATGATGAGAGCGGAGGAGTCGTGTCTTCTACCTGATCGGATGGACATTGAGGCTCGTAAGCGATTCGGTGAAGACATCTTTCAACGTCTGCGAAAGCCAATTGATGATGCTGATGCGGAAGAGAAGGAACAGGTGGTAGGAGCCTTCTTCAAATGGTTCACAGAAGTGTGGATACCAGGGTTGCGTTCAGGGCTACAACCGGTGGAATGGAATGTGGGGAGATGCGTTGAGGATGTCGATCGGGTATCTAGACGAAGGGAGGAGGCGCCGAAGGTGCAGACTGCGCTACTGGGAAGCAGGGACGATGAGAGGAGGCATGTAGTTTCGGCGGCGAGTACGATACAGGACTATGAAGGAGGGAGGAGGGTGTTCGACGTCATCTCAAAGGAGGAGGCGGTGGGGGCGGACTGCAACCGATGTAATGAGTGGGGGGGGGTGCCCGTGAAGAGCATGGTGAGGTGGGCTGGAGACAATCTATGGAGGAGAAGGGAGGTGACGGATACAGTGCTGCTGCATTTGACGAGAGTAGACTTGGGTGAAGAGGTGCGGCTTGGGACCAGAGTGGACGGGAAGTCTGGGGTCTCGATGGCGTGTCTTTGGATACAGGCGGTTGCTGGTGGACAAAAACCCTGCTGCAACGCGTATGGTGGATTTAGGTACGAAGTGGGATGCGGGCATCTGGAAGTGATTGCCGCACGATGGGACTTATACTTTGTGAAAGTAGACCGGTCTGTGTTCTGGAAATTTACCTTGGTGCCAGAGGATACTACTGCGGAGAGGCAGTGGACAAAGCTAGCCGGAGGGCTCTTCCCCTCAGAGGTGGCGGAGGACCTGAGGAGAGAGTTCGAGCAGAGGAGTGGGTGCAAGTTGGAGGCGAGAGGAAGGCATCACTGTCACCTTGGCATCGGAGGAGTGGCTGGAGTGAGGGCATGGAGAGTGGAAACAGATTTAACGGCCAACGAGTACAACTTCAGTGCGAATGCGGTGTGCCACCCTATGCTATCCGTGTTTTGTCGGAGGAAGAGCGTGGAGTTGATGGAGAGTGGATGTGCCTTCCGGGTGGGAGGTGGAGTGGAGACCTTAGTGATGGAGAAGGGGGAACGGGATGGAATAACAGCGGAGGCGGACAGGGCGGTCTTGGAAGTGGCGATGAAAGTCAATGCAGTTATGGAGGTTGGTGTGATGCTCTCGACTGATGGATCCGTGAGTCCGTGTGAAGGGCGACCAGAGCGCGCGAGCAAGGCAGGATGCGGAGCGGTAATCGGGGCAGCGCCTCGTCTAGGGTGGACGGATGTGGGAAGGATTGGGCATGGACTTGACCGAGGGGCGACGACGAGCGCGAGCGAGCTCAGTGCGATGACTCTTGGGCTTCGGGGAATACTGGAGAGAATAAGGGAAGCTCGGAGTAACGGTATAAGTCACAAGATTCGTGGTGAGTGGGTAGTCTTTGCGATGGTGGACAGTGAGACCTGCGTCAAAGGGATGGAGAAGGCATGGAGGAGCAGGGATGATACTTGGCTAGTTGGGGAGCAGGATGGTGATCTTCTCGAGACAATCAACAACTTAAATGGGGCGGTACATTGTAGCGACGCGATGCGTCCGGTGAACTCGTCCGTCTGTCCGGCGACGGACCGAAAAAGGCCCGGTCGGACGGCAGCAGATTTGGGCCGGACGCCGGACGTCGGACGACTTTTTCGTCCGACCGTCCGACTGGCTTTATGTCCGTCCGGCGAGTCACATATGGAAAACTGTGGAAAACCGAATGGCAGTACCGGCTCTTACACAGGTGCTCAAAGTCGATCGGCCTTACACAGGCAGGCGAAGCGATGGGCTGCGGCACGAGCAAGCCGGGCCTGACCTACGAGGAGAAGCTGGCGCGGTGGCGCGAGAAGGGCGGCGGCGACCTCGAGCCGGTCCTCGCGAGCGGCGCCGTCGCCCTCCTCGACGCGCAGTGGATCATCCGCCACGCCGAGGCGGGCGGCGTCCTCTCCCACCGCCAGGCGCTGCCCAAAGAGGCCTTCCTCTCTTTCGCCGATCTCGTCGAGGCGACCGACGAGTATGACCTTGCCGTCGCCGCGCTCTCCTACCCGTGGCTGACCAAGGACCACCCCGACCCGCGCGGAGCCAACCTCGCCCGCGTCGCGAGGGCGCTCAAGGCCCTGCTCAGCCACCCCGGCATCACGCGGCTCGGCGTCTTCTGGGACTTCGGCTCGCTGCACCAGCACCCCGACCCCCCCAACGGCGTCCTGCGCACCGAGGAGCAGAACGCGCTCTTCAAACAGGGGCTGGGCTGCCTCGGCACGCTCTACTCCCACCAGCACACACGCGTGCTGCGGCTGACCTCCTTCCCGGACGGCCACAAGGCGGAGGAGCAGGCCGAGGGCACCAACGTGGCCAAGTACTTTGACCGCGGCTGGTGCTACACGGAGGCCTGCTGGGCGGGCCTGACCAAGGACTACGACCTCTCGCTCGACCTCGGCAAGATGCGCGCCGGCGTGGAGTACGACTGGGACAGCCTCATCGGCGACTGCATCCAGGACGGCGGCCGGCGCCCTCCGCTGCTGCCGTCTGCGTTCGCGGCGGAGCTGGAGAAGAAGAGCTTCACCAACGGCAAGGACGACAAGCCGCTGGTGAAGCAGCTGTACGAGGCCGCCTTCAAGGAGCAGTTTGGAAAGGCGACCAAGCTGATCTACATCGGCCTCGGCTGGGGCGACGCGGAGGCGGCGCAGCTGGCGGAGGTCCTCGCGAGCGGGGCAGCGCCGCGGCTCGAGAAGCTCTGGCTCCAGGGCAACAAGATTGGCGACGAGGGCTGCAAGGCGCTGGCCGCCGCCCTCGGCAAGGAGGGGGCAGCGCCGCGGCTCGAGAGGCTCTATCTCAACGACAACGAGATTGGCGACGAGGGCTGCAAGGCGCTGGCCGCCGCCCTCGGCAAGGAGGGGGCAGCGCCGCGGCTCTGGTTGCTCGATCTCAGCCGCAACAAGATTAGCGACGAGGGCTACAAGGCGCTGGCCGCCGCCCTCAAGGAGGGGGCCGCCCCGAGCCTGAAGGCGCGAGACGCTCCCCCTCGCCCCTCGCCCCTCCCCCGCCCAATGCTCATCGCACCTCCCCTCGCGTGCAGGGGCTCGGCGTGGGCCACCAGGAGCCTGAGCTGGTGGCCGTGTGCGAGGAGCGCGGCATCGGGCTCCTCGGCTGAGCCTCTCCAGCCCCGGCCGGGCGGCAAGGGCGCGGGTTCCTGCGGGACCGCCGCGCGAGCACGGCAGAGAGCAACAGACCCTGCGGCTGCGGAGCATGACGCGCAGCGACGGTGCGGGCGAGATCTTGGTTTGGGGGGGGGGGGGGGGTGGGTCTGTCGGCGCATGTGGGACAGGAGCGCGCCGCGGCGGGCGAGAGGGCGGGCCTGCGTTCAAGTCTCCCGACACGCGGTACAGGGAGGGACTAGCGCTAGCGGAGGGAGGCGCCTCCGAGGGGGCGACTGAGGCGCCGAGGCTGCGGGGGAGGGCAGTCGTGAGCCTCGAGACTCGAGCGTACGTGGTCTTTGGTCTATCGAAAATATATGTTAAATTCACATCTCCCGCACCCAGTGCCTCTCCTCGGTGCGTGTCGGTCTCGCCCCCCCCGACCCTGGTTTGGTGGTTAGCTCACCTTTCCTCCAACAACCGAGGAGGCGGGAGCACACGCCCCCCCACGCGTCGGCTTGACGGGGTAGACGGATACTGTATTGCCGGAGACAGGTCTCTCTCGGCACTCGGCCAATCCCTCGGCACTCTCGCGTAAAGCCGTAGTCGAGTCAGGCGGGCTTGACGGTGATGATCGCCTCCACCTCCACCGGCGAATCGAGCGGCAGCGTGTTGGTGCCTGCGTACACCACGACACGGCAGGTATGAAAGAAAACGAGCTGACTCGTCGGATCAAGGGACGTCTCTGGGAGCTCTGTCCAGCCGCCCACGACGCCGCAGTCAGCGTGATAGCCATCCGCGAGAAGAGCAGTGCCCCGCAAAGTAATTAACTAATTAACAACTAATTAACAACGAATTAATTCACAGCCAGAAAGCAGAGTCACGCAACACTGCTTCGTGCGCGGTGACTCGATCTCAGCTGTATCTCGGCTGTATCGCGGCAGATCTCGCCGATGGCGGAGCGAGCGTGCTACATTCTTTTCTTTTCTTGGCTGTATCTCGGCTAGATCTCGCCGATGGCAGAGCGAGCGTGGTAGCCTCTCTTCCCGCCAAGCACCGCCATCATCACGTCAGAGCAACCTACGGCCGAGATCGCGCGAGATCGAGATCGAGATCGAGATCGCGAGATCGCGGCAGCGCCTCTCTGCTGCAGCCTCATCGCCTCTCGGCTAGATCTTACCCTCAGCCAAGATTCGCCGAGATTCGCCGAGATTCGCCGAGATTCGCCGAGATTGGACCCGGTGAGATCTCGGCTAGATCTCGGCTGCACCTCGGCTGCACCTCAGCGGCATGTGTCCGCTTGATCTCGGCTGGATCTCGGCAAGAATCTCGGCGGAGATCTCGGCGAGATCTCGGCGACGATCTCGGCGAGATCTCCCCTCTCTCTCGCGCCATTCAACACGAGGTGCTGCTGTTTGAACTCGGGCGCGGACGCGACGATGCCGAACAGCTTCACGACCTATTGCGGGCAATCTCGATCGGATCTCGATCTCAACCATATCTCGCGACGATGCCGAACAGCTTCACGACCTATTGCGGGCAATCTCGATCGGATCTCGATCTCAACCATATCTCGCGACGATGCCGAACAGCTTCACGACCTATGACAGCGAACCACTTCTTTCAACAACGTGTTTCAACAAGCGGTCTCTCGCCGATGCAGCCGAGATCTTCCCGAGATCGAGTTGAGATCTGCCCGAGATCGGATCAAAATGAATTGAGATCCGCCCGAGATCGAATTGAGATCTAACTGAGATCTCGCCTCCTCCACGCGGTCGAGATATGACTGAGATCTGCCCGAGATCTGCCCGAGATCTGGTCGAGGGAGATTGAGATCTGCCCGAGACATGCTCCAGATCTAACTGAGATCTCGCCTGCTCTACGCGGTCGAGATCGCCGCCCAGCTGGTCCTGGCAGCGAGATACACAACCGAGATTCAGCCGAGATCGTCCGAGATCGAGATCAGCCGAGGCCAGCCGAGATCGTCCGAGATCAGCCGAAGTCAGCCGAGATTCAGCCGAGATTCAGCCGAGATTCAGCCGAGGTCAGCCGAGATCAGCCGAGATCCAGCCCTCGGCGGCGTCTCGGCTGCATCCCTGCGGCATCTCGCGGCATCTCCGACACATCTCGGCGGCATCTCGGCTGCGGCTGGTCCTGGATCGTGGCGAGAAGACCGAGCCCGCACCTGTCGAGATCTCCCGAGATCTCGCCGAGATCTAGCCGAGATCAGCCGAGATCTTGCCTCGGCGACACCTCGGCGACATCTCGGCGGATCTCCCGGCGATCTCCCGGCGATCTCCCGGCCATCTCCCGGCCATCTCTCGGCGATCTCTCGGCTCCCTCCCACCACTTTGCCGCCTCCTGCGCCTCCTCCAGCGATAGACCGCCCTCGCCGCCGACAGTGCCCGTCGCCATGCTGCCGTCCGGCCTGCGCATGAACAGTTTCTTTTCTTTGATTAATTAACGAATTAATGATTAACCGTCGCCATGCTGCCGTCCGGCCTGCCCACGAACAATTTGTGTTTAAACTTATTAATTCGTTCCTCAACTAATTAATCAGATGATTATCCATCCGGCCTCGCCATTCAAGGTGCACACACTCCGGCACTGTCTCAAGAAGCGGCATCAGTGTCGCGGAAGCGTCTCGGAAGCGTCTCGGAAGCGTCTCGGAGGTGTCTCGAAGTGCGAGGCGGGAAAGGTAGGATCTCGGCAGCATCTCGGAAGTGTCTCGGAAGCGTCTCGGAAGCATCTCGGAAGCGTCTCGGAAGCGTCTCGGAGGCGTCTCGGATGCTCACTTGATCGGAAGATGTCCGGAGAGGTAGAGGCGCGTGGGGCTCTCCCAGCAGGCGATGGTGTAGTTCGCCTTTGGTGTCCCCGCCGCCGGCAGAGTCAGGCCGAGCTCCCTGCGGCGGGGCGTGACGGCAGGCGCGATTGGCAGTCAGCAGCGCCGTCGGCGGCCAGCAGTTGCACGCCGCTCTCTCGATCCACTCACGCTCGCTGTGCGGCACGGGTCTAAGGTCTGCGGCTGGCGCGGAGGGCTGCGACTCAGGCATGGGACAGTGGCAGAGCGCCGGCGGCGCTGGCCGCTATGCACACGTCCTCCGACGTGGTTGGGCGCTCGCACGGCCGTGTGGGCGGGCGCAGCTCACTTGATGCGGGCCTCGGTGTGCAGCGGCGCGGTGCGGCGCAGCGCCGAGGCCGCGAGCGAGCGCGGCGACGCTGAGGCGAAGGCAGCTCGCATGTTCGATACACCCCGGTCGCAAAAAAAAAATTGCCGCGCGGCTCGCCCGCCGCGTCCGCGGCCGCGCCTCCACTCGGCGCACATGCGACACCTGCTCGGCGCCATCGACCTGCTGCTCGGCGCCATCGACCTGCTGCTCTTGCAGCAAGACATGTTCAACGCCATCGTCGACAACCCGCTGGTGCACCGAGCGACGCGCGCGCACTTCCGCGCGGCGAAGCAGCTCGGAGCGGGCGCGGTGCTCGGCATCGACCTTATCCGCCCCGACGTCGAACTGCACGACCAGGCGTGGCTCTACGAGGCACAGGGCTACCTCAACCACCCCAAGGGCGCCATCACCCCTGCGACGCGCTGCACCGGCGTGGGCGCTAGAACGGAGTGCATCTACCACCGCTCGAGGCTGCCTGGGTGCATCCCGTGTAAGCTGCGCCCGCTGGCGCACGGCACGCGCCTCGCCACCGACTACCCCGAGGCGGCGAAGAGGAGAGCTAAAGCCGCGGCGTGCGACCTCGCCAACAACTACGACTTCATGACATGGGCGGCGAGCACGCGCGGCGGCATCGTCTAGGGTACCATACTTGACCCCCCCCCCCTTGGCGCCTCGTCTTTTCCTACCAAACGAGCGTGATTTTGGCCCGTCGTTCTCCGCTCGCGCCGGCCGCCCATGCGCTCGCGGGGCTCCCCGACAGGGCGGGCCTCGTGCTGATGGACCCAGCCGAGGTCCCCGACCAGTCGGAGTGGCGCCGACGCGCTGCGCGCGACCACCAGCCAGCTTTTCATCGGGGCCGAGGACGGTGTGTCGAGAGAGCTGACAGTCAAAGTAGCAGCCGCTTTTTTTGCCTCTTTTTGAGCGCTGCTGCTGCACACCCAGTTCACCAGTGATATGAGACGCACCAGATCCACCCCGTCGCGAGCTTGACCGTCACCCTCGAGCCGTCACCCCGGTGATCGCCCACAGGTGGCTGATCGCGGCCGCCGCTCACGCTGCTTTTCGGCGCCTGGCTCTCAGAGGGCCCCTGCGGCTCTCTCTCGTCGCGTGACCGCCGCCGACATCATGTGCTCGGTCGTCCCCGCCGGCGCGGAGCTGCGCCACGTCGAAAACTCGACCGCCGGCGCGCCCGCCGGCTCACCTCTCGCGCCGCCCCTTCGCACAAAGCCCGCTCACGCCGCACGTACTCAGCCATCGGCGCGACATCACCCCCGCGCAGGCACCTCGCGACGGGTCGGCGCACTCGTGCGGCTCAACGCAGAACTACGGAGCGACTCCGCCGCGGCTCGGCGCTGCCCATGGCAGCAACAGGTACAGGTGCCGCCCCACCACCCGCCTGTGCTGCCTCTGCCTCTCTCAGCCATGCGACCCCTCCGCCAATGCACACCTCGAACGCGACGTCAGATCCCGCTGCGACTGGCAGCATTCGCGGCGATGAGGCCTCCGCCAGCAATGATCGTCACAACTCGTCTGTTACGCTACACGTTTTTGCCCTGTGCAGGTGAGCGGACCGCTGCAGCCATCGACGACGCATCGATGGTGGAGCCGCGGGTCGGGTGAGGGAATGACCTTTTGGCGCGGCGCTGCTATGTGCCTGCGCGCTCATGGCGCGTTCAGGGGTGCGCCTGCGGTGTGTAGACTGCGGGGCGCCGCAATAGAACGGCGCCGACGATTGTGTCGCTCATTGTCACACCGTCGACACGGTCACAGTGTGTGTGCAGTGCGTCCACTCCGGCGACCGTGACGCCGTCGAGGTTCTCGCCTATACCGGCTAGTGTGGAGCTCTCAGTGTGGTTACGTGTTTTACTAGTGATGCTGCACTAGGCGGCCCGTTTTTAGCAAAAAGCAGATACCACATCGCGTGTGGTCGTCGAAAAACCGCATGTTCGCCCGTCTGGGACCTCTTCGGGCCTTAAAGTAAACACGGGTCTCCGAGGGTTAGTTCTGCGCTTTGGGTGTCCCCTAGCGGCGGAACGCCCCCTCTACTCGGAGCTAAAGAATACTCTCCGAGGGTTAGCCCCGCGTACCAGGTTTCCCCTTAACTGCAAGGACGCCCCCTCTACTCGGAGCTAGTGGACACGACACTAACTACTGATACGAGAATACATACCGCCCCCACGCAACTACTCGAAGATAATACGAGAATACGCAGCTGCGAGACGCCTATAAAGAAACAGCGAGGTAAGGTTCGGCGGCTATGATAAACCGAAAGTTGTCGTAAAACGCGGGCGAAAGCAAAGCAGAGGGCGGGCGCTTTCTGCCGCAGCGATGCCCGCAGCCTGTCGAGCAGCTTCCGCGGCGCACATGCGCCGCGGGGTTGAACGACAGCCGCGCCTCTCGAGCCACCCGTGCCACGCGCGGCGACGCGCACCCTGCGCGCCAGTCGGCGCACTGGCAGTACTGCACCAGCCAGCACGGCGTGGAGCAATGCATCCAGGGCATTGTGTTGGGCGCCAGCCAGCATGCCTCAGCACAGAGCAAGAGCGCATGCTGCGCACCCTGGCGCAGCACCAGCTCGCCTCCAATCAGGCACTCTCACCACTGCACAGCCGCCCACGAGCGCCCGCAGCTGCACTGCTCAACGCTCAAGCTCAGGAGCCTCCCCTTGTTGTCGCAGCTTTGTGCAGTGCAGCGTGCGAGCAGCGCAGCGCCAGGCAGACCCGTGGCACGCCCGGGCGGCTGTGGGACGGAGGCCCGCCGAGCGAGTGCGAGCCGCATCGGCAGCCATGTCTCCCGCAGCCGCGAGCGAGCGGTGCAAAGAGGCAGCGTCGCGCATGCTTTTCCGTAACGGCATAGCTCTTTCTAGGGGCGAATGGGCGGTCGGCGTCGGGGTAGAGCGACAGGTGCGTACGGGGTAGCCGTCACTCTCCTGCCTCAAAAGGGCGGGGCTGTCCCGGAAAGTGAGAGACGCCGGGCAGCGTGGCGCACAACTGAACCCTCCCATACGTGCTCGTTCGTGCTCCTCCTTTGCTGTCCCACCCATCTCCTCATCTCTTTCGTGGGTTTGTACTATTAACAACGAAGGCGCTATAAAAAAGAATTCAACAAAAAAGAATTCGGCCACCAAACTTGACACGCCCTCAGCTCGCGTTTGCCGGCCCGAGCCGCTGTTGATCGCCTTCCTCGACAGGCAGGCGAAGCGATGGGCTGCGGCACGAGCAAGCCGGGTCTGACCTACAAGCAGAAGCTGAAGCTGTGGCGCGAGCTCGGCGGCGGCGACCTGGAGCGTGTCCTCGCGAGCGGAGCCGCCGCCCTCCTCGACGCGCAGTGGGTCATCCGCCACGCCGAGGCGGGCGGCGTCCTCACCCACCGCCAGGCGCTGCCCAAAGAGGCCTTCCTCTCCCTCGCCGACCTCGTCGAGGCGACCGGCGAGTTTGGCTGGCTTCCCGTCGCCGCGCTCTCCTACCCGTGGCTGACCAAGGACCACCCCGACCCGTGCGGAGCCAACCTCGCCCGCGTCGCGAGGGCGCTCAAGGCCCTGCTCAGCGATCCCGTCTACATCCCGCGGCTCGGCGTGTTTTGGGACTTCGGCTCGCTGCACCAGCACCCCGACCCCGCCAACGACGTCATGCGCACCGAGGAGCAGAACGCGCTCTTCAAGCAGGGGCTGAGCTGCCTCGGCACGCTCTACTCTCACCGGCACACTTGGGTGCTGCGGCTGACCTCCTTCCCGGACGGGCACAAGGCGGAGGACCAGGCCGAGGGCACCAACGTGGCCAAGTACTTTGACCGCGGCTGGTGCTACACGGAGCAGAGCTGGGCGGGCCTGACAAAGGCTGGCTTCCTCTCGCTCGACCTCGGCAAGATGCGCGCCGGCAAGAAGTACGACCGGAGCAGCCTCGTCGACGACTGCAGAAAGGAGGGCGGCCGGCGCCCTCCGCTGCTGCCGTCTGCGTTCGCGGCGGAGCTGGAGACGAAGAGCTTCACCAACGGCAAGGACGACAAGCCGCTGGTGAAGCGGCTGTACGAGGCCGCCTTCCAGGAGCAGTTTGGCAAGGCGACCGAGCTGATCTACGCCAACCTCGGCTGGGGCGACGCGGAGGCGGCGCAGCTGGCGGAGGTCCTCGCGAGCGGGGCAGCGCCGCGGCTCGAGGAGCTCTATCTCAACACCAACAAACAAGATTGGCGACGAGGGCTGCAAGGCGCTGGCCGCCGCCCTCGGCAAGGAGGGGGCAGCGCCGCGGCTCGAGACGCTCGATCTCAAATACAACAAGATTGGCGACGAGGGCTGCAAGGCGCTGGCCGCCGCCCTCAAGGAGGGGGCCGCCCCGAGCTTGAAGGCGCGAGACGCCACCCTTCGCCACACGCCCCTCCCCCGCCCAATGTTGATCGCACCTCCCCTCGCGTGCAGACGCTCTGGGTGGGCCACAAGCAGCCTGAGCTGGTGGCCGTGTGCGAGGAGCGCGGCATTGTCCTCTTCTGAGCCTCTCCAGCCCCGGCCGGGCGGCAAGGGCGCGGGTTCCTGCGGGACCGCCGCGCGAGCACGGCAGAGAGAGCAACAGACCCTGCGGCTGCGGAGCATGACGCGCAGCGACGGTGCGGGCGAGATCTTGGTTTGTGGTCAGGGGGGGGGGGGGGGGGGGTTTTTTCTTTTTTTGGGGCGCTTTGGCCCTTTGGGAAAAAAACCTCCAAACGGGCAAAAAGGCGGGGGAAGGGGAAATGGGGCCCGGGCCCTGTTGGGCCAAAAAACCACGGGAAAAAGGGGGAAAAAATGTATGAAACCGAAAAATCTGGGCCTTCCGAATGGCGGGGTCCACCTTGTAAGGTAGGTAAGGTAAATTTCTCCACACACACAAAGTGGTAAGGTAAGGTAAGGTAAGGTAAACTTTTCCACACACACGAGGTGGTGGGGCAAGGGGGGGCAACCCTCGCGTCTCCACGTCTAAAAAAATTGCTTTAACCCAAAATACTCATGTGCACTACATTGCCTGGGGGTGGGGTGGTGGGGCATGGTGGCTGGTTGCAGTGTGTATGAGTTGTGGGCGTAGGTCGCCGGCGTAGGTCGTGATAGTTCGTCTGGTACCTTCTCTGGTGGCTGCGCCGTTCCTGTCCGGAAGATCTCCCCAGTGTAGATGCTACAGGCGGCGGAAGAGGAGGAGGAGGAGAGTGAGGGGGAGGCGGAGGCGGGGGCACCTGTGGTGACGGCGCCCTACGAGAAGGGCGACTACCGGTTCGCGCGGGAGAAGAATTGCGACCTGCGTTTGCTCGACTTCGAGACGTTCGGCGGCTTCGGGGACGGCGTCCGCAGAATTCTTCGGCAGGCGGCGGACCAGCTGAGTAACAAACTTTCGCACGCTCAGCACCTCGATGAGGTCACATGGACCACCAAGAACTGGCACGGGCTGCAGATGCAGCGCTTGTCTGTCGTTCTCCACACCGCCGTGGCGTGGCAGACGGTGAACGAGCTAGCGTGCGGGGACAGCGGCATTGTGCACGGAGCTAAGTGCATTGCCGTTCTTAACGGAGTCGCTTAGGCGGCTCCGGTGGTGTGCCGGTGATAGTACTAGCACGCGCCAGTTCGCACCTGTGTCGAGCCTGTGTGCTGTGTAGGTAGGTAGAAAGGTGAAGAACAGCCAGGCTCGGACTGGACACCAACGCGGTATGGGTGGACGCTGGACAGATGATGACGACGTGCTGTGAGAGAGAGTTGTTTTGTTTAAATTCTTTCTTTTGTCGTACAAGTTTCGCGCGTCCCCACGATGGTGGCTGCCCTTGGCGGCTGCCACCGTGGGAGCCGACCTGGAGATCCTTGCCGTCTCGCGCCTTGCGCGTGCATTAGCTCCCGCTCCCATGTGTGGGGCATCTTATCGTGCCACACCCAGCTGTCGCTCTGCTCGCCTTCCCATTCGCAGAGGTACTCCCATCCGTGTTCGTCCTCCTCCGTGCCTCCCCCGGCGCCTTCCTTGCCGCCTTCACCTTCCGCACCCTATCGGGCGCCCTCCGTTCCGTCTTCTGTCCGTGCGCGCGCTCTTCTATGGCCGCCCACTTCCAGTATTGTCGCAGCCAGGCTGTGAGAGAGAGTTGTCTTGTTTAAATTCTTTTTTTGCTAACCGGGTCACACAGATGGCTCAGACGGCGCACCGCGGGCACGGCAACGCGGGCGCGGACGCGCTCCGCGCAGCGGCGGGAGAGCGCGCGCGCAAGGACGCGCTGGACGAGGCGCGCGCCGAGCGCGAGCGGCTGGCGGAGGAGACAAAGGCGCGCCGGCACCAGCGGCCGCAGCGGTTGCACCCCGCGGCGCCGGGCGACCGCGCACCCTGAGAGCACTGAGAGCAGCCACCTTGCGCGCTGCGAGCCGTGGGCAGCCAAAGGCCCGCGCCAAGGCACGCACCCACCGCGCCGCCTCGGCAGGCGTACCGCCTCGGCGGCGTCGACGACAAGTTCTCCTCCTCCACCAACGGCGTCGAGGGCGAGCTCGCCAAAGCGACCGTCGGGCTCGTCAGCGCCGCGGAGTTCGCGAGGCGGCGCCAGGAGCTGGAGAGCGGCGGCGGGGGAGGAGGCGGCGACGGCGGCGGCGGCGACGGCGGTGGCGGAGGCGGCGGCGGCGGCGGAGGCGAGGTGGCGGCTGCAGAGGCGCCGGTCAAAAGGAAGAAGAAGAAGAGGAAGACGTGCGGAGCACTTTCAGGACATGTCCGAGACATGTCCCGTAGGCGCCAAAGAAGAAGAAGAAGAAGAAGGTGGCGCAAGGGGCGCTGTCGTTTGGGGGGGAGGACGAGGAGGAGGGCGCCGACGAGGTGTTCTCGGGATGGAGCCGAGAACGGGGGCTTGGGGGGCTGGCGAGTAGAGACCACGCCTCACTTTTTCACACACGGGGTGATCCGTTGCCTTCCGCTGCACATGCCGAGGCCGCCAGGCAAGGGGCGTGTGCTGTGAATCGCAGCTGTGAATAGCAGGCGTGGTCTCTACTCGCCAGCTTGGGGGTAGGAGGGGCGGGAGCGGGTAGGAGGGGGAGGGAGGAAGGGAGGGAGAGCGAGAGGGAGAGAGAGCGCTCCGCACCTTCAACTAGTCTTGACGATGCGCGCTGAATACACCGTTGCCCACGCCTGAGCAGCTCCGTAACGCGCCAACAGGCGCCGCACCTCGTGCCGAAAAAGAAAGCCAAGTCCGAACACTTCGTCTCCTCCTCCTCCTCCGCCGCCGCAGCAGCGGCGCCGCCGCCAGCCGCCGCCGCCGCTGCTGCCGCCACCGCCGCCGCCGCCGCCGCGCCGCCGCCGCCGCTGCCGGCCGGCTGCACGTCGGTGAAAGAGGTGCGCCGCAGGGGGGCGGAGGAGGGCTCAATCTGGGCTCAATCTCGGCTCGATCTCGGCTCGATCTGGACTCAATCTGGACTCAATCTGGGATCAATCTGGGCTCAATCTCGGCTCAATCTGGCGCTCCATCTCGGCTCAGGTGCCGCAGGGGCTGGAGCTGGCGCTGGAGTGCTACTGCTCGGCGAGCGCGCGGCAGACGAGGTGACAAGAACGAGAATGAAACGGCTTGATGCAGTGTTTATGATTCGTATCACCATTCTCACCGCTCGTATCCATCTTGTCAGTCTTGTCCATTACTGCCACTGCCAGGGTGAAGGCCGACACCCACAAAGAACCCTGCACAAACATCGCACAAGGGCGGGGACCTGTTCCTGTTTCCCCATCTCACAGTAGAGAGGTGTCCGTTTTCTTTCTTTCTTTAGGGTGAAGGCCGTCTCGGCGCGGTCGATTGGCATGGAGGTCAAGGCAAAGGACTCCGAGGCGCGCGGAGATTGAAGCGAGATACAGACGAGGTAGAGACGAGGTAGAGTTGAGGTTGAGAGGACACAGATTGAGGCGAGATACAGGCGAGATTGAAGCGAGATTGCGATGAGATTGAGGCGAGGTAGAGACGAGATTGAAGCGAGATTGCGATGAGATTGAGGCGAGGTGGATACGAGATGGTGGGAGATCGTGGGAGATCGCCCCGGCCGTTGCGCCAGGCGAACTTGCGAGTATTTGGGCGCGATTGGGACGAGATTGAGGCGAGATTGAGACGAGATTGAGGCGAGATTGAGGCGAGATTGGGACGAGATTGAGGCGAGATACAGGCGAGATACAGGCGAGATACAGGCGAGATACAGGCGAGATACAGGCGAGATACAGGCGAGATACAGGCGAGATACAGGCGAGATACAGGCGAGATACAGGCGAGATACAGGCGAGATACAGGCGAGATACAGGCGAGATACAGGCGAGATACAGGCGAGATACAGGCGAGATACAGGCGAGATTCGAGACTGAGGGCACACAGTGCCCGCCAGGCGAACAAGGCCGCTATTCACAGCTGCTATTCACAGCAAGAGTGCCCGCCAGGCGAACAAGCCGCTCTGTGGGAGATCGTGGGAGATCGTGGGAGATCGTGGGAGATCGCCCCGGCCGTTGCGCCAGGCGAACAAGCCGCTCTGCTGTGAATAGCAGCTGTGAATAGCCCGCCAGGCGAACAAACCGCTCTGCGAGTACTTGGGACGAGATTGAGGCGAGATTGAGGCGAGATTGAGGCGAGATTGAGGCGAGATTGAGGCGAGATACAGGCGAGATACAGGCGAGATACAGGCGAGATTCGAGACTGAGGGGACACAGTGCCCGCCAGGCGAACAATCTCCCACGATCTCCCACGATCTCCCACGATCTCCCGCCAGGCGAACAAGCCGCTCTGCGAGTACTTGGGCGAGACACTCGCCGCCGTCGGCAGCGCCAAGCTGCGCTGCGAGGTTGTGCGCGGCGAGAGGGCGCCGGTGAAGGTAATACTCTTGGTTGAGATTCGCCGAGATGAGAGGAGATTCGCCGAGATTAGCTGCGAGGTTGTGCGCGGCGAGAGGGCGCCGGTGAAGGTAATACTCTTGGTTGAGATTCGCCGAGATGAGAGGAGATTCGCCGAGATTCGCTGCGAGGTTGTGCGCGGCGAGAGGGCGCCGGTCAAGGTAACAATACTAGTATATTATTATTCTTAAGTTGTGCGCGGCGAGAGGGCGCCTGTGAAGGCTGTCACCCCGGCTGCATCTCGGCTCATCTCGGCTAATCTCGGCGAAATCTCGGCGACATCCCGGCTGCATCTCGGCTGCATCTCGCCTGTATCTCGGCTGCACCGCGGCTGCATCTCGGCTGCATCTCGGCCGCATCTCGGCTACATCTCGCCTGCATCTCGCCTGTATCTCGGCTAACCTCGCCGGCATCTCGCCTGTCAAGGTGGTCCGCGTTTTGTGCGACGGGTTGGCCGCCGCCGCTGCGTACCAGCGGCTCTCAATCGCGCAGCTGGCGGCGGACCGCGAGGCGGTCGCGCCTTCTCTTGCTTTCTCACACACACACACACACACACACACACACGCACGCACGCACGCACGCACGCACGCACGCACGCACGCACGCACGCACGCACGCACGCACACACACACGCACACACGGTCGCCCTGGCCCTTGCCCCACCTCCCTTGTGTGTGTGTGTGGAGAAGTCTGCCGTACCTTCCTTAGGCGGCCGCCGCGGCGCCACCGAGGAGCGTGGGCCGGCCAACCTTCTGAAACCTTCCGACGCCTTCTTCCTCTTCTCGCGGCACGACGCGCAGCAATACCGGATAGAGGCAGGTGGCGCAAGCGAGTGCTTTCGTGGGAAGGCGCGTGTTTTCTGGGGAGGCGGTGCGGGTGGTTTGTTGCCCGTTTTGTTTGGCTTTGCGCTTTCTCGCGCGCGTTCGGTTTTGTCGTTTCGATCCGGAGGGGAGGGTAAGGGAAGGGTGCATGTTCATTATAGACACGACCCACGCTCTTACATACAGCCGTACGCCAGCGCCACGGAGCTCCGCCCAAAAAAAGAAACCGGGTCGCCCAAGGCCTCTCGATTAACTCGAACAATCCCCTCCACCACGGGGGTCGGGGCGTCCTCCACCAGGGACTGCTGGCCCGGCGGCGGCGCCCGGCCGCCGGCCCTGTCCGACCCGCCGTTTCGACCTCTCAGAACCGCAAGTACTTGCCAGACTTCCCGTGGAACATGTGCTCGCCTGACAGGCACCATAGCAGGCGGAGTGACACAACGGGATCGCGCGACTCTCGCAACCAGGACCCGATGCAAGCGTTCTCACCGGCGCTCTTTAACGAGTAGTTCTCGGCGAATTTCGTCGCGTCGCCTACAAAAGCAGTGTGAGCGACGCCGTCACATTGACGGTGGCTTGGCAGGGCGTGCCGTCGGCACGCCATTGTTTTTGGCTGCTCTCGGCAAATCTCGGGTCATGATGACGGCTGATCTCCGGCTGGTAGCTACTATATTCCACCGAGCACAAGCTTGTGGTTGAAGCGCGGGTTGGGCGGCACGAGAGGCTCGATGTACCTGTTCACAGCTACGTCTCAGCGCAGGCGGGCCGAACCGCTGGCAGCCACCAAGAGCTGCTCCGGCGCACCAGCCCACTTCTTGCGCCGAGGACTGCGGCGCCGCATACTTTGACCTCGGCACCTTGCCGCAGTTGACAGCCTAGCGGAGCAAACTTCCTCGAGCATGCTGCCGGCTTCAAGCTCTGTAATGGGGCGGCTGTGGCTTGGGGCTGGCCTGCTGCATCGCCTCCTTCACATCCTCCTCCTCTCCCTCCATGTCATGGTTGAGGCCTAATCACGGCGAGAGAGTAAAGGTAGCACACAGCCCGATTCCTGCCTGCCCATGGCAGGCATCTGGCCGACACGAAAGTTGTGCCCAACCTTCTCGGTGTGCAAGTAGGATCTCGTCCCGAGCCCGTTGTTCATCTCTAGGCTGGGGAAGGGGTTGGAGGTGTACTTCTTCTTGCACCCGCTCGCCGCTATGGCCATCTCCTTCCGGACGTGTTCCGTCCAGATCTCATTCTTGCCGACCTGTCGAGGAGAAAAGGTTGGCATCTGGTGAGGAGGCCTCTTGCTCGCAAGCATTGCTGGCCCAGGCTGACACCGGCCACACGCGGGAGCAACCGAGATAGTAGGCACAGGAGAGACGGCCGCAGTCATTGCGTTGCCAGTCGCGGGCGATGCTGGGGACGCGACTTATGAGTGGCGGTCTCTCTCGTCTTTGCTTGGGAATGGACTAGGTCGAGGCGCAGACACGCCTCGTCAAACTTGTCCGTCTTCCAGTTCATGCAGCGCGACGGTGGGTGGCTGCGGCGCGCGCGCGAGTTTCGGGCTGAAACCGTCAGGAATAAAATCACAGATAAAATAAGAATTTAAAATAAGAATTTAAACCAAAGAATTTAAACAAAAGAACTCTCTCTCACAGTTAAAAAAAAACTCTCTCTCACAGCAGACAGGCTCGACACAGGTGCGAACTGGCGCGTGCTAGTACTATCACAGGCACACACATATAAGAAGTGCCGGGGATTAGTCAATGGTACCGCGTCGGCGACGCGGGCGCCTTGCGGGCAGAGCCCTTAGCCACCCTTTGTCTTGCGCGGTCAAAATAGTTTTTGTTTTGAGCCAGCCTTCGATGTATTGAAACAAACGCAAGGCGGACACACACATGACGCATCGCTCTCGGGCCCACAGACATCCCGTACCACCCGCCGCCCCCGCGCGCGCCCCACCCCGGCCGGGAGAAAGGGGAGTGGCAGTTTCATCTACTCTTCTATGGAGGAAGGTGAAGAACAGTCAGGCTCGGACTGGACACCAACGCGGTATGGGTGGACGCAAGACAGATGATGACGACACGCACGAGCGACACACAGACACAAACAAGCTCACAAGACACACAGCCAGCCGGCTGCCTTCTCTTCTTTTCAGACGTTTCACTCTTTCGCGCCTCTTCCGTTCCTCGAAGTTTCGCGCTGCACGTGTGTGTGTATATGCTGCTCGCGGTCTTTGCGACCACCTCGCTCGTGCCGACGGTCCGACTGGCATCGGCCGCGCCCGTGCTGCGGGTGCCCGCCCCGCCGGTCGCGTCTGGAGTCATCGCGGGCCTCGCGCCGGCGTTCGGTTCGTATGCTGACATCTGGCTCCCCACTCTTCTCTCGGTCGGGGTGCCGGACTTCCTGCTGCACTGGGGCCATGGCGCCGCGATGACCACTGTCTTATTTGCGATGGGAGGCTACGGCACCTACCTCGGCTGGCAGACACGGCTCGGCAACGGCGATGACGTCCTTCCGCTCAACCTTGGCAAGCCGAGTCGGCAGATGCACTCGCTCCTCATGTCAGGCGCCCTCTTCTTCTTCCTGCTCGGTGGGCAGGGCGGCTTTGTCCTGCTCCGTGGCCAGGGGCAGGAGATCCTCCAGTCCGCTCATTCCTCGACTGCTGTGCTGGGGCTCGCCCTGCTCCTCACGCAGGCTGTGCTCGGCAAGACGATGGGAGACTCCGAGATGGGACGCTCCGTCCACGCGTACTTGGGCTCGGCAACGATGCTCGCCCTGGTCGTCCACGCGTACAATGGGCTGCAGCTCGGGACCTCGTTCTCGTGAGGAGCGGAATTTAGACGCTGGGCAAGCGTTGGGCCGGGCGGCGACGACCGCTGGCCTCTCCATTGCGCACTGCAGCTGCTTAGTGTGTTAGTGATTTGTGGAGAGAGAGTAGCGGAACCTGAGCCTACGCATAACCCCCAAACCCGCAGCGGCCCAGGGGCCCATGGGGGCCAGCCTGCCGGACCGCCGCCCGCGCGGCACTCTAAGCACCCGAGACGAGATGAGTGTAGTTGACGGCTTGGGCTATCGACTGCGCCGCGAAATTCTCCTTTATCCGCCTTGTCGATTACCACTGGTGTTTCGTCCTCCTCGGAGTCGTCTTCCCCGGCTTCCTCTCGTTCGACTTGGTGGGGGCGGTAGAATTCTTTTCCACCTGGGACGACGGGTATCGACGCGGCCCCAGCAAGGTGTACGCCACAGTTCCCCAGGGGACCGTGGCGACGACCGTCGCCTCGGACTGGCTCGCAAACGAGCTGGCCGAGCACGGAGAGATCGATGCGGCATTATGATGTAACATACTTCCGGGCCGGTGTGCGGGGAGCGAACCTTAACGACCGCCCAGAAGCTTTCTGAGCGAACCAATCGGGCCAGGATCATCAGCATATGTCCCCTGCACAACATCGTGGGCGTTTGAGCGGTATTTGAGGAGCACATCTGAAGTTCGGCCGGGTGGTCTGCAGAACCCCCCCCCCCCCCCGGAGCAGCAGAGGCTCCGTGGGGTCGCAGAGTCGACGCTGGGAGTCGCACTCGTCAAACCGTCGCATGACCACGCAGTCCGCACGTACCGCCCACATCCCCTCCACCGCTCAGAAGGTGCAGATCGACCGCCGGGCCGCGTAGTCATCGTTAAGGAGCGGTTTTTGGAGCCGTACGAAGAGGTCCCAGACGGGCGAACATGCGGTTTTTCGACGACCACACGCGATGTGGTATCTGCTTTTTGCTAAAAACGGGCCGCCTAGTGCAGCATCACTAGTAAAACACGTAACCACACTGAGAGCTCCACACTAGCCGGTATAGGCGAGCGCCGACGGCGTCACGGTCGCCGGAGTGGACGCACTGCACACACACTGTGACCGTGTCGACGGTGTGACAGTGAGCGACGCAATCGCTGGCGCCGCGCTATTGCGGCGCCCCGCAGTCTACACACCGCAGGCGCACCCCTGAACGCGCCATGAGCGCGCAGGCACATAGCAGCGCCGCGCCAAAAGGCCATTCCCTCGCCCGACCCGCGGCTCCACCGCGGCTGCAGCGGTCCGCTCACCTGCACAGGGCAAAAACGTGTAGCTTAACAGACGACTTGTGATGATCAGTGCTGGCGGAGGCCTCATCGCCGCGAATGCTGCCAGTCGCAGCGGGATCTGACGTCGCGTTCGAGGTGTGCATTGGCGGAGGGGTCGCATGGCTGAGAGAGGCAGAGGCAGCAGGCGGGTGGTGGGGCGGCACCTGTTGCTGCCATGGGCAGCGCCGAGCCGCGGCGGAGGTCGCTCCGTAGTTCTGCGTTGAGCCGCACGAGTACGCCGACCCGTCGCGAGGTGCCTGCGCGGGGGTGATGTCGCGCCGACGGCTGAGTACGCGGTGTGTGAGCGGCTTTGCGCGCCGAGAGGCGGCGCGAGAAGGCGAGCGGGCGGGCGCGCCGGTGGTCGGGCACCGCGCGCTGCGGCTGCAGCGAGCCGGCGGCTGGCGCGGCGAAGGCGGGCAGGGTCGCGGGTGGCGCCACCAGCTCGAGGTGGGGTCCTGAGGTGGCTTCAGCCTGGTCTGCTCGAGCGGCATGCCCGCCGCGCCTGCGAACAGCCACCTGTGGGCGGTCACCGGGGTGACGCCACGCCTCAGCTCACGAGATATGGGAAGGGCATGGGGTCACGCGGGCCCTGTCTGCAGCAGCAGTGCTAACTAAAACGACAAAATTCCGGATGGACCGGAGAGTGGCGTTCTCGGGTCCGAGGGCCGCCTCAACTGGAGTAGGGAAATTTGGATTTTGGTCAAACGCCTGCTGGGGGCAGCTTCTCGGAGTATTCCGGAAGCCAGATGATCCCCCAGCAGGCACACACACACGGAGGTGACAGGGGATGGTGGTGGGTTCAAGCAAAGAAGGGGAGGGAGAGAGCGACGCGGCGAGCGCAGGCGGCGAGCGTGCACGTCGCCTGTGCGGCGTCTTGTTCACTCCCCTTTGAGCTACCTTTGTGCCCCCTTAGGGGCACCCCTCCTGCGCTGCGCGTATGGTCACCCCTCCCTTCCGCCCTGTTGTTTTGGATGCCCCGCTCCGAGAAAGCATGTCTCGCAGCTGCGAGAAAAGACCGCGCGATCTACGCACCGTCCTCGACGCCGCCAAAAGCTGGCTGGTGGTCGCGCGCGGCGCGTCGGCGCGGGTCCGACTGGTCGGGCACCTCGGCTGGGTCCATCAGCACGAGGCCCGCCCTGTCGGGCAGCCCCGTGAGCTCATGATGCCCCACGAGAGGCGCTGACGCCCCGCCGAGATCGGGGTCTGTTGGTAGGAAAAGACGTGGCGCCAAGGGGGGGGGTCAAGTTCTCGAGGTTCTCGAGGTGGATATCCTTTGGCCGCGTTGGGTAGCGAGGATTGGTGTAACCCGAGCCACGGAGGCGTGTTTTCCGACGGCCAACCGTCAGTGCACGGAGTTGCCCCTTCTCCGACTGCCCCGGCTATGGCTTTCTTCGAGGCGGAGCGTGAGGCTCTTGAGGCGGCGGCGGCGGCCGTCGCGCCCACCCCCTTTTCTCTCCTCTTCCCCCCCTCCTCTCTCCTCTCTCCTCCTCTCTCCTCTCCTCTCCTCTCCTCTTCTCATCCCCTCCCTCTCCTCCTCTCCTCTCTCCCACCCATCTCTCCCCCAGCAGCTTCCTCGAGGCCGAACAGTAGACCCTTCCTGATCGCTAAGCTACCACAGGGGGCGGCCAGGTAGCAGACATCGTCCGCCGCCGCCTCCGCCACCCACGTGCCTCGGCCCCGCTCAGCAAAAAATCAGCATTATATCAGGAGGTGCCAAAGCAGCAGCATCTCAATGAGGTTAGCGCCGTGCGTTTTGCCGCCGCGCGCTGTCGCCGCGCCGGGTGGCTCCGGGTTCGAATCGCGGCCTTCGCGGAGCGAACGCGGCGACCTTGGCGCGCCTCGCGCACGTGCGCGCCCGCGACGAGACGAGACGAGAAGGAGAAGTAGACGTTGATGTTTTTGCTGCCGCGGCCGCGCCGCGAGCTCGCGTCCGTTTTGGCGCCGACGCAGCGCCGCGCCCCGCCGCGCGAGATGGCGCCGCCGCGGGGTCGGCGCCGCGATCAGCCGCGCGCCAGCGGCGAGCGGCGCAGCGCGGCCACCATGCGGCGAATGTCGTTACACTCTGTATACGTGTGTGGGCGGTTATATTTTCCACCTGTGTCCGGTCTCCCCTCCCGCCCCGGAGGCGTGCCGATGGCTCGTGAGCGTGCACCGCGCCGTCGATCGCCGCCGAAGCGGCAGCCGCTCGGCGGCGGGCGCGCCGGCGGCAGCGGGCGTGCCGGTGGCGGCGGGCGCGCCGGCGGCGGCGGCGGCTGCGCCCGTGCTCGTGGGAGGAGGCGGCTGCGCGAGCTGCTGGGCGTGGCGCCGCTGCTGGATGTAGAGGTGGGTCGGGATCATCACCAGCGAGAGGCTGTTGAAGGCGAACTCGAGCGCATCGTTTGACAGCCGGCTCGCTAGCTGCGTGCCGAACCGCGCCGTGACGATGGACGGTATCGCGATCGAGGCTGCGGTGACCAGGCAGGCGCTGTCGCTCGTCGCAAAGCGCACGGAGCTGCTGATGCTGGAGAGCGACAGGGAGAAGAGCGAGACGCCCGTGGCCGCAAGCTGGTTGAGCGCCATGTACTGGTGCGTCATCCCTGGAATGATCATCTGGCCGCCGCCCCACCCGACAAGGCCTAGCGTGGCGCCTCCCGCAAAGCCGACGACGCCAGCAAAGCAGTGGCGCTGAAGCCCGGCGAGCGGAGCAGGCGGCAGGAGGCGGCGCAGCCGCTGCATGTGTTGGATTTGGCAAATCTGCGCGGCACAAAAGCGTAGAGAAGCGTACAGAGCGTCACTTAACCCCAGCCCCCAGCCCCTTCTCCGACGGCCGCGCTAGGTCCCGGGGGACGCAGGGGTCAGCCCCGCGCGACCTCGGGAACTAGCCGGGTGGGTTGGTCGCTCGACTGTCCTCGCCGACGTGACCGTGATCCGAGGCCGCCGCCCCATCCGCCATTGGATGCATGGTGCTGTGCACGTAGGTGTCACCTGGCACGCTCTGCAAAATGTATGTGTTGGTATCATCGGTATCAACGAGTCTCAAAGTCAACGAGGTCTTGAAGATGTCATTGAAGGCGTTGGAATCACGGAACGCGAGATGGACATTGTTGTTAAAAATCCCTTCCGGACTCAGCCTATTGCTGTCATCAGAAGCCAGCGCGTCGAGCAGGTAGACAGCTTCGGTGCATGCCCATATATCGAGGGGCGAGAGAGAGGCACCGGCGCTGTCCTGAGAAGGTGCGTGGTCCCTCTTGACTGCCCATGCGCGCGAGGCTGTGTAGGCATAGCCTCGAGAGTGCCAGCAGCCAATCCGAGGTGACGCGCATTGCGCCAGAAGCGTGCACGCAGCTGGAAGGACACCTTCCTACTGGCCGTACGATCAGGTCGTCACTGAATGCTTGATACTAAGGCCGCGAGCTATGCAGGTGATCAATTGTGCATCATGGCACGGGCAGCAGCGCCGACAGGCTGTCGCAAGGCGTGATAGCATGGCCGCAAGTACGCAGAATTCCCATGAAAACAAGTAAAAAATCGCGAAAAAAAAACTCGAAAAAATCGGCGCCTGCGGCGGGCCAGGGGACCCCATCCCCCCCCCGCATGGACACGCTCTGGGGCCCCCGCGCCGGCCCAGAGGAGGGGTGGGAGGGGGGTCGGGGCGCGGGCGGGCGGGCGGGGGGGGGGGGGGGGGGGCCCCAAAATGGTGCCACCCCCGCTTTTGGTCAATGGAACACATCTTTTTAAATGGGGGGACCCCCCCCGTTTGAAAAGAAAACCCCGGTTATGCGCGGCAAAATTGGGGGGGGGGGGCCTAGGGGGCCACACCCAATACCGCTTTCCAAAGGGCAAAACTCAAAAAAAAAAGGGGGCCTCTTCCCAACCAGTACAGAGCGCGCTTCTTCAAACCCCAAAATAGGTAGAGGCTAGAGCGGGGTTGAGTTATGAGTACTCGCGAGCGCGTACACACATGTGCATAAAACAGCACCAGGAAGCTCTCCCGCGCTAGTTGTAGTTCCGTGGATGAGAGGACAGTACTCAGTCAGTAGGCGAGGGGGGGGGTGCGCGCGCGGTCGCTCGGTCCTCGAACCTCGTGACCTCCCCGCGAGATTGCCTCGAGATTGCCCGAGAGAGGCTCACCCCCCGACAGCGTCCACGCCGATGACCACCGAGCCGCCCGGCTGCGCGTTGAGCGACTTGATCTTGACGTAGCGCAAAAAGTCGTCGTTGCTCCAGCCGAGCGTCGCCTTGAGCTTGGCATACCTGCTCCCAGCGGCGAGCTGTGACCGCGCCGTCGTCGCAGCGCCGCGTACCCACAGGCCCGGGCGGCGCACCATGTCGCCTTTGCGCCTTGCTCCATCTGAATCGCCGCCGCGCTCGCCTGGTTGATCGTGACGCTTTAATTAATCAAAAATTAGGCTCGCTCAAGGAACCATTAATTAGGCTCGCCTGGTTGATCGTGACGCCTTAATTAATAATTACCAGTTAATTAACAGTTAATTAATAATTAAGCGCTCGCCTGGTTGATCGTGACGCTCGCCTCGCGCTGCGCCTGCCCGTTGATGCGCGCGATGGCCGCCTCCGCCTCTGCCGACAGGATGTCGACCTCTTTGCTCACCCGCGTCACTTCGAGCTGGTACGTCTTGGTCACCTGTGAACGGAGGCTGTGAATGAAGACGGAGCGGGCGGCGAAGTCCGCCTCCGGCATCGCCCCTCTCGAGCACCTTGAGCTGCTCCTGCAGCTGGATGTTGGTGATGGTGTCCTGTTCACACCATGCAGCTGTGTGATTTCCTCTTGCACACAGCGCTGCCTTGCAGGCCCTCCGCTGCAGCGGGCTCTCCTCGTAGTTTGAGTTGAAGTCGACGCGCAGCAGCTGCAGGTCGTGGACAGTGGCGTAGCCCTGGCGGTATAGCGTCTCGTTGACCTGCCGGAAAGAGGCGGAAAGAGGGCCGATCAGGCCGGCGAAACACTGCCACGCCTCTCGGGGGTCTTTTTGTCTGGTGAGTCGTGGACCACCGCGGGGGCGCAGCGAGAGAAGCGACAGCTTCCTTCCATGGCAAACCTCGGCAGTGAGGGTCAAAGGCCGCCCCACCGAGACGACGGCTCCACTTGGCTGCAGAAAAGGAAGCTGCCGAGCCGCCGGCTCGGCGGCGTCTCCTCGCCCACTCCGATGCGCACGGCTGCCCTTCTCCCGCTCTCGGCGGCATCTCTGGCGGCGTCTCGGCGACATGCCACCTTGCCCAGCAGCTGCCCCTCCACCTTCTTGCGGTCCGTCCAAAACGCGCGCGGAGTGAACATCTGCGCCTCGTTTGTGATGGCCTGAAACACAGAAAAACTGCCCGCTCTCCATGCACGCTCAGAGGCGCGCCCGCAAGCTGCTCGGCGCAACGGCCTGCTGGGCGAAGCGCAGGTACGAAGCCTCATGCAACGCGCCTGTTTCGGCACCGTCCACCCGTGAAGAAACGCCGTTCACAGCGGGGCAGCCTCGTACGACAGCCGCGTGCGGCGCGCCAAACGTCTGGTAGATCCGAGGCACGTCGCGCCGCGCAATCTGGTACTGGAAGGCGACGCAGAGCCTAAGAATCAGCCCAGCTTATGGCGTTGCTTCTTATTGGCCCAGTCCCTTACGACCTAGTGTCAGCGGTGCCCCTCTCGCCGCGCCGCCCCACCGCCCCTGCCCCGCTGTGAACGGCGTCTCTTCACGCCTCGGGCTGTGAATGGGCGGGGACGAATGGAGCTGGCTGTCGTTTTGAGCTTGCGCGAACTGGCGCGGGAGGGCGACGCAGAGGCTGCCCGCTGAGGCCAGCCGCCCGGTCTCGACAAATCTCGACGAACCCTTCGGCGAACCTCGGCGGATCTCGGTGGATCTCGGCGGATCTCGGCTACTCTCGAGCCGGATCGGCTGGCCGCCCGACTCCTTGTCGTCGGGGTCGGGGCCGGTGCGCGCCGAGATGGGAGCCTAGTAAGCATTACTCTCGTGAGCTGTGAACAGACGCACTTGCCTTCGGGTGCAAGTGCGCTAGGTTGGGCGTGCTTTCACAGCCTCACGAGAGTAAGTAAGAATGGTAACAGGGCGATGAGAGCCTCCCGCCTGGTCTGTACGAGTTGAACGGCTGGCTGGGGCGGCGGCGAGGGAGGAGGCGAAGGCGGAGGCGGCGAGGGAGGAGGAGGCGAGGGAGGAGGAGGCGAAGGAGGCGGGGGCGAGGGCGGAGGCGGGGAAGGGGGCGGTGGCGAGGGAGGCGGAGGCGAGGGCGGCGGCGGCGGCCTGGTCCGACTCGCCGCGCCCAAAATCGGAGAACTCGAGGTTGACGAGCCTGAGATCCGTCAATTAAAACTAAACTCATCGGCTCCTCGTTGAAAAGGAGAACTCGAGGTTGACGAGCCTGAGATTCACGAGCTAAACGAATTAAAATTAATTACGCGTTGACACAGTGAACTCGAGGTTGGCGAGCCTGAGATTCATCGGGGCCGGGGCGACGCCAATCTCACTCCCCTGTTTTTAATCAGGCCGGAGAGCAGATCTCGAGTTTGACGTGCCGGCGCGGGAGATATGGGGAGATATGGGGAGATATGGGGAGATGTGGGGAGATGTGGGGAGATACGGGGGTCTCGAGTTTGACGTGCCGGCGCGGGAGATATGGGGAGATGTGGGGAGATGTGGGGAGATATGGGGAGATATGGGGGTCTCGAGTTTGACGTGCCGGCGCGGGAGATACGGGGAGATGTGGGGAGATGTGGGGAGATGTGGGGAGATATGGGGGTCTCGAGTTTTGACGTGCCGGCGCGGGAACTTGATGAAGGAGTGGCGCAGCCAGATGAAGTGCCGCCCGCCTGACTCCAACCAAACGCTCGTCAGCTGGAACTCCCCATATCTCCCCACATCTCCCCATATCTCCAGCTTGAAGGCTGGCAAGGTGGTGTGGCGAGATCTCCCCATATCTCCCCATATCTCCCCATATCTCCCCATATCTCCCCAAACACTCGTCAGCTCGATCGGCTCTAGTCATGGCACCGCCCAAGCGGTTGATCAAACGAAAGAACTCATGCTGAGGCGCGTCATATACGTGCTAGAGAAGTGTGTTCGAGACCTCGCGAGCGGGCAGAAGTGAGTGAGACCTCGGCGCTGCGCAGCACTCTCTCGGTGCGGGAGGGGAGTGGTGGGGAGGCAGGAGGCGGCGAGAGAGAGGCGGCGGCGGAGGGGCGGGCGGCGGCGGCGGAGGGATGGGCGGCGGCGGCGCAGGGGCGGGCTGAAGGCTGGAGAGGGAGGGGGCGGCGGAGGTGGCTTATCAGCTAATGACCACCTTCAGAATTAACGACTAATAGGTGGCGGGGTCGGAGGCCGCCGAGCTCCATCTCTCCAGATCTCCCCAGATCTCCCCATATCAGGCGGCCGCCTTCAAACACGCGCTCCGGGTCGAGCTCCACGTATCTGCAGGGGCCAAAAGGGGGGGGGGAGGGGGGGGGCTCGAGGCAAGACTGCGGCGCCCGCGCGAGCTTCGCCCTCTGTGTAGCGCCCTGGCTATAGCGCCGTCCATACAGCGCCACCTCGCGAGCTGCCCCTTGTGAGCTATTGTGTCCAGCAGTCTTGGGCCCACATCTCCTCACATCTCCCCACATCTCCCCACATCTCCCCATATCTCCCCACATCTCCCTTGTGAGCAGTCCGGGACCCAGTGACGCGGCCCGTCACACAGCGTGCCTCGTGCCGGCTCCCGAGCCAGTCGTGCGCAGCGTGAGAGTGCGTGCGTGCGTGCATGCGTGCGTGCGTACGTGCGTGCGTGCGCGCGCGCGTGCGTGCGTGCGTGCGTGCGTGCGTGCGTGCGTGCGTGCGTGCGTCCGTGCGTGCGTGCGTGCGTGCGTGCGTGCGTGTGTGTGTGTGTGTTGTGTGTGTGCGTGCCCGTCCTCCGTGGAGGTGCCTCCAGTCCTCCGTGCCCGTCCAAGCTCCGGCCGCCCCGTCCTCTAGGAGGTATGTCACACTGTGACCGACTGGCTGCCGTGAGCTTCTGGGGGAGCGCCGGCCGCAGAGCACGGCGGATCGCTGCTGACACAAGGTGCGGCCGAGTGCATTCGCGGGCTAATGAGAGTGGCTACTGAGGAGCCGGCGCACCCCGTGAAGCCGTTCTGGACCACGCCCCACTCGGTCGGCTCGAGCACGTCCCACGAGCTGCAAAGGGGCAGCAGGCGACGAAGCGGCGGGTCAACACAGAGGAACGGCAGCCGGTGGGACTGTCTTCCGCGTGCCGGCCATCAGTGCGGCGGCGCGGTGAATGGGTGCGTGTGCTTGCCCGCGCACGAGTCCAGCAGCGGCCGAGGCGGAGGAGGAGGCGGCAGCGGCGGCGAGGGCGCGGCGGGGCTGCAGCACGCCTGGCGAAGAGGAGGACCGAGGCGAGGGCGAGAGCGGCGGCGCCCTTTGTCCAGTCGGCGCGGGCGGGGCTGCAGTCGCAGTCGTCGTCCTCGTCCATCGGTGGCGGAGTGCGGCGAGCGGCGAGAGGCGGCGGCGCGGCCTGCTGGTGATCAAGAAAAAGAAATTGGTTCCCGTTCGAGGAAGCCCAAGAAAAAAGTGTTCTTTCTTTTCCAAGAAAAAAGCCAAGGAAGACACACGAAACATAAGAAACCGAGGCGCCTCGTGAAGCCGTTACAGAATGGGCTGCCATGCGAGCAGGCCGCAGGAATACGACGACCTTGCCGGTCTTGCTAGTACCATCAGCAGCGGGCTCCAGGAAGAGCGGGCAGAGGGACCCATCCCAGCCAATGCCGAAGCGGAGCCGGCCACCGCCCTGGCCTCTGCCACCGATCTCGGCGTGAGCGAGAGGATGCTGGAGGGGTGGCGCAAGTGGGGCGGCGGCGACCTAGAGCCGGTCCTCACGAGCGGCGCCGTCGCCCTCCTCGACGCGCAGTGGATCATCCGCCACGCCGAGGCGGGCGGCGTCCTCGCCCACCGCCAGGCGCTGCCCAAAGAGGCCTTCCTCTCCCTCGCCGACCTCGTCGAGGCGACCACCGAGCGTCCCTGGCTTCCCGTCGCCGCGCTCTCCTACCCGTGGCTGACCAAGGACCACCCCGACCCGCGCGGAGCCAACCTCTCCCGCGTCGCAAGGGCGCTCAAGGCCCTGCTCAGCGGCACCGATTACAAGGGTAATGTCGTCCTCCCGCGGCTCGGCGTGTTTTGGGACTTCGGCTCGCTGCACCAGCACCCCGACCCCGCCAACGGCGTCCTGCGCACCGAGGAGCAGAACGCGCTCTTCAAGCAGGGGCTGGGCTGCCTCGGCACGCTCTACTCCCACAAGTACACTTTCGTGCTGCGGCTGACCTCCTTCCCGGACGGCCACAAGGCGGAGGAGCAGGCCGAGGGCACCAACGTGGCCAAGTACTTTGACCGTGGCTGGTGCTTCACCGAGCAGAGCTGGGCGGGCCTGACAAAGGCTGGCTTCCTCTCGCTCGACCTCGGCAAGATGCGCGCCGGCACGGAGTACGACTGCGGCCGCCTCGTCGACGACTGCAGAAAGGACGGCGGCCGGCGCCCTCCGCTGCTGCCGTCTGCGTTCGCGGCGGAGCTGGAGTCGAAGAGCTTCACCAACGGCAAGGACGACAAGCCGCTTGTGAAGCAGCTGTACGAGGCCGCCTTCGAGGAGCAGTTTGGCAAGGCGACCAAGCTGAGCTACGCCAACCTCGGCTGGGGCGACGCGGAGGCGGCGCAGCTGGCGGAGGTCCTCGCGAGCGGGGCAGCGCCGCGGCTCGAGAAGCTCTACCTCTACGACAACCAGATTGGCGACGAGGGCTGCAAGGCGCTTGC